AGTGGTTGAGCCTCTGCTTAGAGGAACTTAATCAAATTTCAACAAAAAAAAAACAAGAAAATAAAAAAAAAGAGTCGAGTGGAGCCTTGAATGGGTGTTTACGTCTTTGCACAATTCATGTTTCACAGAAAATATGCAAAAAGGGGCAGCTGTAGACACCCAATTTGGTCCAAGCTCGGATTAATTGGGCCTGGTCCAAATGGTTAAGCCCATTTTGTATTTTTATTTTATTTTATTTCTTTATTATTATTTATTAATATATATTTTTTATTATTTATCTATTAATTATTAATATGTATTTTTTTGATTTTATCTTGATTAATTTTCAGCTAGGATTAGGATAAAAAAATATTAGATTTGGCCTTGAAATTGGAGGCTGGCAGAATTGGGATTGAATTCAAAGATTGAATTCAAATCCCAAAAGGAGTTGGGATTGATCAGAAACTCTTTTAATCAATCCCTATAAATAGGTCCACAGAGAACACACATAGAAAAACAGAAAATACAAAGAGAGGAAACAGAGGCTAAAAAAGGTTCTGGTGCATTACAAACAACTTTAGGAATTTGTGAGAAATTTTTCGACAAGATTCAAGTTTTCCGACGAGATTTTCGGCCAACTTCGAAGTTTTCGACCTGTTTTTTCAGATTCGATAGACATTCAACCGGAATCTGAATTCTGTTTAGAGAGAAGAAGGAGAAAAACGAATAAGAGAGAGAGAGAGGGAAGGAAGTAATCTGTGAAAAAACAGAGGTTGGAGCCTTTTATACCTACCGAAAACGACATCGTTTTAGCCTTACTATTTCTATAGGATCCACGCGTTTTGAAATCGGACGACCCGACCCGAGCGCCAACCTGATCAGTGACCCACGTCTCTGCCAGGAGTCGAGCCGAGTCATTTCCAGCCGAGCTGCACGTTTAAACCACTTTGTCTCTCAAGCCTAGCCGCATTAAGCCGAGCCGAGCCGTTCCAAAGGTTTTTTTTTCTTATTTATTATTATTATTATTATTATTATTTATTGATTATATTAGAATAATTTGGTATTCCTTATTTTATTTTTATTTTATTTTATTTTATTTTTTTAATGATTTTCTTCAAATAATATTCTAAAAAAAATATTTTTGAGGAAAAGTTGAAAGTATCAATTTTCCTTGAAAATAAGTTTTTTAAAAAATATTTTCGAAAAAAAGTTGAAAGTATCAATTTTCTTTGAAAATAATTTTCTAAAAAATATTTCTGAGAAAAAGGTAAAAGAATCAATTTTTCTTGAAAATAAAATTTTTAAAAAATATTTTTGAAAAAAAGTTGAAAATATCAATTTTCCTCGCAAATAAAGTTTCAGAAAAATATTTTGAAAAAAAATTAGAAGTACCAATTTTTCTTAAAAAAAATGTTTTAAGAAAAAGTTGAAAGTATCAACTTTTTTTGTACAAAAGCAATGAGTTTTTGAAGAGAAAATGATTTATATCTAAAGCTGAATCATTATTCTTTTTTTTCATATTTTATTTCTTTTCCTTTTTGAATTTTCTTTAATGTTAAATAATCCAACGATAAAGCCTCTACAAGTGAAACAATAGTTTCCTTGCATACTTTTGAGGTGAAGGAATTTGCTCAATTTTCTGCTAAAAGTATTAGAGTCAATAGAGAATCATTTTCAATAATTAATTACTTGATAAATTTTTAAGGCTTATTGGATAACACAAAATTAAGCTAGTACCATCTTTCGATGGGCGTTGTGAGGGTGCTATAACCTTCCTCACACATAACCATACTCCCGAATCCTGTTTTGGTTAGTAGACCTGAACCTATTCTTTTAGGGACCGTTAGGCTTAGGTGTTCCTTAAAATGATAGATTCTTTAGGTGACCAATCGCACCTAGATAAAAAAGATTGGTGGCGACTCCTAAAGAAGAAACAAGACAGTTTTGCAACAGATAAAAGAATGATTGGGAGAGGAGCTACAGGGGAGAGCACTGCAAGCATCTTTTGCCCGGTCAGCCATTCAAATTGTTGTCAGCTTCTTATACAGAGAATTGTATGCTCTCATTTGAAGTACATTAGCTTAACATGAATCTTGCACATGAAACATTAAACAAAGGAAAAGATTAAGAAGGTTTTGAGAGATAGATAATTTCCTACTCTGGATTAGCTGAAAACCAGTAAAAGGTCTCTACAATGAAACTTAAAAGCTAGTACAGGAAAATGCCACACACTCAGATCAAGCTCTTCATCTGAGGAGCCAGAAAAGAGAACAGCTATGCATCTACTAAGGTGATTATTACAGAAAACGTTAATCACAAATGTAATGAGCCAAAGCACATTTAGTGTTTAAATGAGGCCAAATACCAGAGAAAGTATTGCTAGAGAATATCTACTTCTATGCAGCTTGTTCAAAGTCTAATCTCTTTCAAGTTTCAGCAAAGGTTCTCATCTGATCCAAGTCATCAGATTCAATTAACTACCACAATCACAAGAATCAATAGAACAAAGACAGATGGAAATAGAAATTTTGCATCCAAAAAGGATTTCTAAATAGTATATTTCTTCAAAATATCTCCCACTCAATCCCTTTGCTGGGCTCTATAGTAGTTCCAATCTCAAAATCTCCCAGTTCTCACCCAAGAAAGGTTCCTTCTCTTCATCCACAAACAACAGGCACCAACTTCCATAGGTCATAGGTGCATTCCTCATCTTCCTCAATGTAACTTCATTTCGTGTTTGCCATGCGGATTTCTCCTTAGTGTTTGGCCCATTTGGTTCTTTACAAGTGATGAAAGTTCTCTCACCACTGTTCACAATCCATTTTCACGACTCAAAATTTCACCAAATTTTGGCCCTTAACCGCCTATTCCTTAACATTCAAGGTTTCCCCTAATAGAATTCAACTAACATCCATAATTCCTATAAAACTCAACACCAAGCATCAAATATTGCACGTAAATGCAATTTCATTTAAAAATCAAACAATTATATGACAAAACATGAGAACCCATAATCAAATATATTCAGTACATGCTCTTGAACCAAAATAATTAATTCATCAGTGCCAAATTTGCTACAAAATTAAAAATTTCTAGAATAAGAAATAAAAACAGAAACGATATGATGAATGGATGACATTATCATCATTGTTAGCTACAAAATTTGCCTTTTTTTTTTTTTCAAAATTAAAAACCTGAGAGATTATTTGATGGGTTTAGTTGCAGCATTAGCAGAACTTAAAATTTCCTGTTGCTGATGAATTCCTTGTTGTTGTTGAATCGATTTTCGCTCTAGCTCTCGCCATTTGTTAATTCCGATGGTAAAGAGAACTGTTGCAAATAAACAAATAAAGAATCAAAGCAAGTTCTTTTTTTTTTTTTGGGTAAAAAAAAAGAAAAGAGATTAATTGAAAAAAAAACAGAAAAGAGATTAATTGAAGTTATTTACATCCGGCGCCGACGAAGATGATGAGGCGGAGGACTTTGGGGCCGGGCGGACCCGCTGCTTCTTCTGCTGTCATTTTCACTCTCTTGCCTCGGCGAAGGTTTGGGAACTGATGGTAAGCTCAGCTGAGAACTCTTGAGAAAGAAAATTGGTGGTTTTTCCGTAAATAGTGATAAGAAAAAAGGGCATAGCGGGAAAACGAGAGAAATGAGAACGTCTGGACTTTTCTTTTCTCGCTTTGGCGTTTCCTAAACAAGCCACTATTTCTTCCCTTCACATTCTTTTTTTTTAATTTTTTTAAGTGAAGTTATTTAATTATTTTTTATTCTAATTTAAAGTTTTTTGAATGTATATTTTTAATAAATTATAGAATTATTTTATATATATTTTCGATAAATTATATTAAAATGTATATTATATTACAAATGTATATTCAAAAGTTAAAAAATTATATTTAAGTTTAAAAAAAGTTGAAAAAATATATTTTATAATTTTTAAATTTCAAATATAAAAATTTTAAAAACTTTAAATGTATAAATTCAAAACTTTTTTAAAAATTTTGAATATGCAAATTTAAAAATTTTTAAGATCTCTCGAATTTGTAAATTCTAAAACTTTTAAATATTTTTAAAATATAAAAAAAGGTGTTAAGACAAAAAATTTAATTAAATAATTTTATTTAAAACTAATTAAAAAAAGGTAAAAAGAGTAAAGGATGCTGTGGGAATATAATTTCTTTTTTTTTTTCAATTTAAAAATATATTTTTAATTTTAAATCTGGAAAATTCATTTTATTCTAACTTTTTTGTTCAACTTTGATTATTATAATTTTATTTTTCATTTTAATTAAGTGTTAAAAAATGTATTATTCTTTTTTTGCCAACAAAAAATGTATTACTAAATAAAAAAATCATAAAGTTTAATTACTAAATTATTTCACCGATTTTAAAATTCAATTTTTTGGCCAAATATTTTCAAATTCACTTAATATTATATCAATCATATAAATGTTTTAAATATTGTATCATATTATTTTTTTATCATCTTTATATTTTTAAGTTTGCTCATACCTTTAGCAACTTTTATAATTACCACTTAGAGTTGAAAAAAAAAAATTACTAAAAGTACTTCTACTCTAGTATTTTGTATATGATTTATCCGAAAAAAAAGTATTTATATTTGTATTATTTTAGGGATGAAATATAAATTTATCACTTTGTTTAAAATGATAGATTAAATTTACAATTATTTTAAATAGATGTAATTTTATTATTAAATTTTTAATTTCATTGAAAAAAAAATCATAAATTTAAATATTATAAAACATTCTATTATTTTTTCATGAAATATTTTTTATGAGTTAACTTTTGATTATTTTTATTTGAATTAAAATTTATAAAAATAAATTTACATCCATTCAAAAATAAATCTTAAAAATGATCATTTCTCTTTAGACTTTACCTTTACCATTTATTTTTCTTTTTATATTTTCTCAATTCATTTTTTTTTAAAAAATACTATTATTTTATTTATTTTATTTTTTGGTAATTACAAAACATTTAATATTTTACTATCCAAAAAAAATTTGCATTTATTTTTTGTTCCTTTCTCTCGTTTTTCTGCCCTTTTCTCTTTTTCTTGTCAATTAAACGTTATTTCTTCTTTGGTAATCGAAGGAAAGCTAATAAAATGGAGAGAAAGCAAAGCTCCAAATCTAAGTTGAACATAGCCATCATTCACCCAGATCTTGGCATTGGTGATTTCTGTATACCCTTTTTCTCCTCTGATTCCTTTTTATTTCTTTTTTAAATTTCAGTTGTTTGTCTTAGTTCATTTATTAATTTTTATGTTTATGATGAAAAAAAAAACTTGGGGTTGCTGAAAATTTGAAGGAATCAACAACAAAAAGAATGAAGTTTTGTAGGTTTTTTTTGGGTAAAATTTTGTGGATTTTTAGGTTTAAAAGTTTTAATTTTTGGGTGGAAAAGGCTTAATCTTGATTGAGATTATTAGGTTCTATAGCTAATATCAGTTTAGTTTTTTCCAAATTAAAAAAGGAAAAACTTTTATGATTTTACTCATCTGTTGTGATTTAAAGTTGGAGCTGAAAGATTGATTGTTGATGCGGCTGTTGAATTAGCATCCCTTGGGCCCAATGTTCATATTTTCACAGCTCACCATGACAAAAATCCATGCTTTGAGGACCCGCGCCGGTAAATTTGTTTTTCCCTCTTTTCTTTCAATAATTTTAACTTCTTATTTGTGATATTAAGGATGAACTGATTGGGAAGATGATTTTTTGACCAAATCATGGTTTGTTTTCTGATGTTAATTTGGAGAATTTAGTGCATATAGTTTATTATAACTAATAGAGTGAGTGTACTGCTTGACTATAGCTGAGCCAGAACATAGAATTCGATGCTATTGTCGAAGTGGAAGAATGTCTGAAATTTGAATTGCACCTTTTGTTCATAATCATTCATTTGTCTGACTGAAATTCATTTACACGCTGTCATGAATATCCACGTATTTTTCCAGTTACAGTATATGGTGACTTCCTTCCACGAAATATTTTCTATCGTCTTCATGCTGTTTGTGCATATCTGCGCTGCGTCTTTGTTGCACTTTGTATGCTGTTCATGTGGCCATCATTTGATGTTATACTAGCAGACCAGGTCTCTGTAGTCATCCCATTGTTGAAACTTAAAAAGTCCATAAAGGTATATAGAATTAATTTTTGTGAATTGTTATGTAGAATTCCCGCTGTGATAGCTCTTTCACGCAGAGCTCCTTTTTTTGCAGGTTGTATTCTATTGTCATTTTCCAGATTTGTTACTAGCTCAACATACAACTTTTCTGAGGAGGATATACTGGAAACCTATTGATTTTATAGAAGAACTGACAACAGGTTGGTTCCACATAGTGGCTCTTTGTTCTTACAGAATATGGAATATAGTGGTCATCAGATATGTTCATTTGCTATTGGGATGCAGGAATGGCAGATATGATACTGGTCAATAGCAGATTTACTGCTTCTACCTTTGCTAAAACATTCAAGCATCTGCATGCTCGAGGAATTAGAGCAGCCGTTCTTCACCCTGCAGTTAATGTGCATCAGTTTAACGAGCCCCATTCTTATAAATAACCAACATGCTCATACATCCCTTGGTCTCTTTTTATTCTCGGAAAATTTTTAAAATCTCATGTCTAAACATTTCTTCAATTATGTAAAACTTACCACCATACTCTGAACTTTGTTTTGTTGCTTTGGCTAGGTTGAATTTTCTTTCTATCAATCGCTTTGAAAGGAAAAAGAACATAGATTTAGCAGTTTCTGCTTTTGCGATGCTTCAGACCCTTGAAGGAAATGTCCATCAAACTTCTAACTTGGCTGATGCTAAGTTGACAATTGCTGGCAAGTTCCCTTCTCATTTTCCACTAGTAATACGAGTGACCGATAGATTTTGATAAAAATGAGTGACGCAAGAAGATTCAAACTACAACCTAAAGTGATTCCCTTATTTGGTCTTTTATAAAGCCGACCCCAGATTATGTGATATAAGGCTTAATGTGTTGTTGTTGTTATATGGAATGAGTATTTCAACTATGTTTGTGACTTATAAGTGTATTATTTTTGTTTAAAAAAATAAATTTCGCTATGATAAGGCTGAGTCCTGGCCATCTTTATAGTTGCCTAGAATGCTATTATGCTGCATTTTCAGAATAAACAAACAGGTTAGAAAGTCTGATTAAACGTGATAGGCGTTCAACCCTGATAGAACCAACTGAAACATTGGGGTATATTATAATAGGCTAGATGCTTTGTTGGTTGGTATACTTGACATGTTCTGCTTACTCATCATTATATGGGGAAGGTTGGAAAGGCAGAACTTTAATTATGTTGCACCTGGTTTTCCATAGAAGAAAAAGGAGCATTGTGATCCAGTTCTTTCACTTAAATGCTCATCTTTATGCTGCACAAATGTGAGAGCAGTATGGTTGCTAATATGGATAATAAATGGTTTCCTTCTTTCTCTTTCTTCTTAATGTATTACTTCCTACAGAAATATAAATAATGCATTTCGTCTGTTTTTTTAGGTGGATATGATAGACGCCTAAGGGAAAATGTTGAGTACTTGGAGGAGCTCAAAAGCTTAGCTGAGAGGGAAGGAGTCGCTGATTGGGTTAATTTTGTTACGTCTTGCTCAACAGAAGAAAGGAATTCTCTGCTCTCTCAATGCCTATGTGTCCTTTATACACCAACAGTATGTTAGCATCTATTATTCTCAAGAAAAATTGGGTAGATTGATGAAAGAAAAGTAGGTTGTAACATACGAAGATTTCCAATTCAATGTAGGATGAACACTTTGGCATTGTTCCATTAGAGGCAATGGCAGCGTACAAACCTGTTATAGCATGCAACAGTGGTGGTCCATTGGAAACAATCAAGAATGGGGAAACAGGATTTCTTTGTGATCCAACTGCAAAGGACTTTGCTTTGGCCATGGATAAACTCGTTCAAGACCCAGAGGTGGCAAAGAGAATGGGGGCACAGGCTAGGCAGCATGTCAATGAATCATTTTCTACGAAGATGTTTGGCCAGCATTTGAATCAGTTTCTTCTGGATGTTGTTAGAAGCAAACAGGACTGAAAATGGGGAATAGGCAATGATGATGACCTTTCCTCTACATAATTTTGCAGAAAATGTAAACATTATACTTAAGATGTTAGAAATGTTTAGTTTTTGCAACTGAGATTAAAAAAAAAAAAAAAACCACTTTCTGCAATGAGATTTCATCAGTTGATGACTGCTCATAATTTTTTGACCATATGCGACAAACCCAGAGTAAAAAAATTGAGCTAACAAATCTGGTAGATCTCTAAATGCAGATACACCATTGTGACTATTGTGACTAAGCTTCAAAGCTAACACTTGCAGACAGTTCTTATGCCACAATACCTCCATGAGATCACCACACTCTTTTCATTTACGAGATCATCACTCTCTCTAAATATGCAAAATTAGACCTCTTTCAATATCATTTAGATTTGAAACTTCGTACATCTTGAATTTTACTTTTTAAAATATAACTAAATGAATCAACATATTAAATTTTGAATTTAGATCTCTAAGCTTGTTAAGAGTTAATCTCCTTTTCGAATGATTTTAAGGCCACACTTCCTCTGAATCCAGGATTTTACTCTTAGGAATAATTCCTACAATGATCAAACCTCGATTGATAATGAAACAGAGTTCTTCTAACTTATCAGATGGACTAAAGACTAATGGATTTAGGTTTATAGCTTTAATTTACATATTTATTTTGCCTCATTTGGTGAAATTATGAGGGCTTGTTTATCTATTATTCTTTTCATTTTCAGGTTGATGAATCAATGAGGGCAGAAGAGGTTGAAATTTACTATGATCCAGGAGAGCTATTTGCGGGGGGCTTCTTAAGGTACCATGTGCCTCAAGTTCAAACATAAAACGACACAATTCCATTGAGACTTCAACATCTTCCCATCACTTTCCATTCTCCAAGTGAACAAAATAACTAGGTTTTGCTTCTTTTTTTAGATATAAAAATAAGTTGGTTCTGCCTATAAAACAGCTTCTGTTTTGATAAGAAATTTTTAAATCTGTAAGAAACAAATTTCAAAAGCAAATAAACAAGGGATTTGGAATCTAAAGGACTTCACTTGTTCTAGTTTAATTATTTCGTTGCCGGCTTAGAGAGGAAGCATTGGGCTCCATTTTACCAATAAAACAAACATCTATTTAATTTTACATCCTTGTTATTTAATTGAACTAAAGGCTCTGATTGAATAATGATTTGCTTTTTTCATCTTGCTTTTTTATCTCCTAGCTTTCAATTTATTTTTTATTTTTTAATTTTTATTAAAAAAAGTAAATAGTAAAAGCATCTATTAAAAAGGTATTATTTTATATATGTTAATTAATTTTGATTTTTTTTATATATTTTTATATTCAAATTAAATTTCTCCATCTATTGCAACTTATTTTTAAGTTAAATATTAAATATTGTATGAAACTCGCATCCTGTTTTATAATTTATCTTTTATATATTTTTTGAGTTTATTACGTAATAATTATATTTACACGTAATGAGAGCTCAATAAAATAATATCATCTCGTATCTATTAAACTTTAAATTTTTATAATCTTATATTTAAATTAAATTCTCATATATATTATTAGTAATAAATTTTAAATTAAATACTTAACCATGTCAATTAAATGAAACCTATATGGACAATAATTTAAATGGATAAAGACAAAAATAATGACTGTATAAATGATGCAAACTAAAAAAAAAACAAGATTTTTCATTAAAAAAAGGTGCATAAATGAATGCCTAATTTGGTTCACTGTTGTAGACAAAAGTTTAGCTTATAATTTATTAAAATTGATTTATATAATTATTTTTAAAAGATAATATTTAATAAGTTTATAATTTAAATTTTAACATTTATATAATTTTTTTTTATTTTCAAACCGTAGTATCTTAGGTAATAAAAAAAAAAGTATAATATTAATTGATTGTTTTGATTGGCGTACTAGGATTTAGGATTTTTTTAATTTAAAGCTATATATATATATATATATATATATATATATATACATCCAAAAGACTCTTCTTTTTTATTTGCCCATGAATCACCAATCTTATTTTATGTCACTAAAAAAAAGTAGGTTCCTTGAATTTGAAACACTAAACTTGACTTAGGGCGACAACATATTCATTAAACATGCATCCACGATATATATATATATATATATAGAGAGAGAGAGAGACACACACACACACACACACATCCAAAAGACTCTTCTTTTTTATTTGCCTATGAATGAATCGTGACCAATCTTATTTTATGTCACTAAAAAAATATGTAGGTTCCTTGAATTTAAAACATTAAACTTGACTTGGGAGACAACATATTCATTGAACATGCATCCACAAACATATACATATCTGTGAGAACAAAAAATGATTTAATATTTTCTTAAAATATTTATATCTTGTTTAATTGATGATTTTGCATTTTGTTATTTCTTTCTTATTTTTAATTCATTTTATATTTTTTTGCATTTTACTTTTTATTAAAAAAGCAAAATAATAATAATAATAAAAGCACTGATCAAATGAATAATTTTATTCAAAACTTAATTTCATATATTCAAATGATTTTACAAATTTTCTTTAGAAGATTCCGATGACAACAGGAAAACCCAAGTAAAAAAAAAAAAACAAGTTGAGCAATTCAATCCTCCATTGATCCAATAAACAATTAACTAGTCTGCTTCATTGATTTCCATTAAGTAAAAGGTAGGGAGACTTTAGTACATATACCTTAATAAAAATTATTGACAAATCTATGCAAAACAATAATAAAAAATTGGGATCCATTATTGAAGCTAATAGCCACTTGATAAAAGAAAGGATCCAGCTCTTTTGATTGGCATATACCCTTTTTTTTTTTTGATAGATTGATTGGATATAGCTTACATATACATGCACTATGACATTAGCAATAGATCTTGTCATAAATTTTATTATTAATATTGATCAATTATTCTTTATTAGGTTCTTATCTAGTACTATAAGTTTGAAACTTCCAAAACCATTAATTGTTTGATTCATAATTAAATCAAACAATTCTACTAAAATCAAGTTTGGCCCACTTTTCCCTTAATTTCCTCCATATTAATTTTTTTGACTAATTAATAATTTTGTTTTAGAATAAAAAATTGTTATTATTGTAGACAAGTGGATCATTTTAAAAGATTAGATTCAGACAAAATTTAAAAATATTTTTTAACATATTATAAAAATATTTTCGATCATGTTACTATAATATATTGTAGTATATATATAACTCAACATATAGCTTCTAATTAAGGTGGATTAGTTGTTAATATAGGATTTGGGTCTCTTTAATCGATTAAATTAAATACTTTTATAATAATTAATAAGTGAGGAATACTAGAAATTGCATGGAAATTTATTAAATTTCAAATTTTCAATGTAAGATACGATTAAAAAAGTAATTAATTAAAGGTTAGATATGGGAAAGACTTATATAATAATCCAAAACTATTTCTTCATATGTATAATAATATTTCAACTTTTACATATCAACAGATGAAAAAAATAATGTGGTTTTATATATTGGAATCGAACTTCACTTAATATTAAAAAAAAAATTTAAAATTTAAACAATTAATTCATATAATTATTTTTTAAAATATTATTTAATAAATTTAAAATTTAAATCTTAACACTTATAATTATTTCTTTTGTTTTTAAAATTTGACTTTCTTTATTAATAAAAAAAAAAACCAATTTAAAGTGAATGGTTGTGAATTAATCATAGAAGTGAAAGGCTTATGCATTTGAAGCCACAATGTCAAAGTTGTTGTTGGTGAAGGATTAATGGTTTATCCATTTGAAGCCTATTCAAAAGTGGGTCCGAAGAATTGATAGGTGAATAAAGTTTCACCATTAGCAAGTCTTTTCTCTTTTCTTTAATTTTCCAACTTGAGCATCAATTTGACTATAGCCTTTGGACATTACAATTTTTTTTTTTATAAGGATCAAGCTTCAAAGAAAAACATCACAATTATGTATTCATGATACATGTGTTTAACATCAAATATTGAAAAAATATATATCAAAATGCCAATAAAGGATAACCATATAATTAAATTAAATTTCTAACCATTAGATTTTGTTACCCTTTCTAATTTGGTACAATTAAGAAAAGTAGCTTGTATTGGCATCCATGCTACTTTGTTCTCTTTTTTCTTCTTCTTCCTTTTTTTTTTCCTCTTTTCTCCCCCTTAAGGCTTTATTCCCCTTACTTCTTTATCCAATTCTCCTCCTCTTTATCAGAAGATAATGAAATATAGATAGAAACAAAAATGAAGTTATCTAGCTAATGAAACTATATAATAAATGAAGTTGTTCGTATAAAAATTATTGGATTACGCATGTTATAAGATATTATCCATTTTAGATGTTTGATGTAGATTTCTTCATAGTTTGAATTTTGAATGCTTTGATAAGAGAAATGTGATCAATACTTATAAAATCATTGTCGAATCATTGGCTATTAAATGTTGGATCCTTTCTCTCTCAATACTAACCCCTAATCAATTAATTACATTTGAAGTGCATACAAAATTTATACACACTCATAAATTAAATGGAGATACAAAAGGTTTAATTTACACAAATATATATATATATATATATTATTCCTACCTTATTAATTAAAGATACAAAACCATAAGTCAATTAATTACTGAAAAATTAACAATAAAAGAAAAAAAATTAGACACCAAGACTTCATTCGAAAGACTGACAAAAATAAATTTTCATCAATTATTATATCATTTTGAGACTGAACCCTGATAAAGAAAAAATATTGATAATGTGAATATTGGCATCTTATGACAATGTGCTATGGTAAGTTATTTCAATTTTAAATTGAAGATATATATATATATTTATATATATATATATTCCATATAAATTAGGTAATTTGCAAGAAGCACCTAAAACACCATAAACTTTTGTACGATATGTTTGGTGAGCTTTTAAAATATGTTATTAATTCCAGCATATGGCTTGATTGCCATTTGCCACCCACTATTAATAACACAATTAAAACCAAAGGTCATGTGTTTTTTTATTTGTTTCTTGAAAAAAAAAAAAAAACCGAAAGCAAGCTATCTTAGGAATTGATTAAAATTTTTCATTGATTAAAATTACAAGTAAAATTTTTATTTGGAATTTTTTTTTAGTAAATAAGAGAATAAAAAGTGATTGTAAGTATTAAGATTTGAATTCCAAACCTATTATATATTACTTTTTAAAAGTGACTATATAAATCAATAAAGTTAAACTTTAAATTTCATTAAAAACTTCATATATATACATAGAAAAATCAATTAACCAACAAATAAAACAATAAACAAACTGAATAAAGTTGGACTAATGTTGGATATCTTAATTATTTTTGTTTTTACATAAAAAGAAGAGATCATATATCCTAATTATTTTGTTTTCTTTTCATGTATGCTAATGATGTGCTCAACAATACTATTTTTTTTCACATATATGTGATTTATTAAGTTATCTAATTAATTATAGTCCTTTCTAAGATAATAAAATCCAACTTTTTTTTTATCTCAAAATTCAAATTCAAAACTTTTATAGTAAAATGGCATGTTCCTAACTATTAGCATATTTGACAATGAAGCCTTAGCTTAGTGGCAAGGAGAAAGTCCTAGAATTTTAAGGTCTTAGTTCCAAGCTTTACTATATGTGAGTTTAATTCAATTTTATATCGAATTTATCTAGTTATATTTTAGTTAGTTTGTTGGTTTGTTTGTTTGATTATTTAGTAATTGTTTATATATGAATGTAATAGTTTATTATGATTGTAATTTGTAATTGTAATTTCATTAAAAAAAACTATTGGCATATCCCTGTATAATCTAAGGCGAAGGCTTCAATTGTCAAAATTTTCAATTTTTTAGGGTTAATATGTAATTTGATCCTTAAACTATATCATTTTTCATGATTTGATGTTTATAAAAAAAATTTTATGATTTAGTACCTAAACTTTCATTATGCAATATCATATGCCCCAACCTCAATTGTTAATAATATGTTGATGTGGTAAGAAATTAATAAATAAAATCATGACACATGTTGTATTTTCATTATTCAATATCCACCATGTCATTATTTTATTTAATATTGTTAGTTAATAGTGCAAAATGCTTGATGGAAACAAAATTAAGGTACCAAATTGTAAATTTTTTTTTTAAGTATCAAAAAATAAAAAGTGATATAATTTAAAGATTAATTTATAAATTAACCCTTTTATGGTTTAACTCAATTTAAACAAGGTAATAGACAAAAAAAAAAAAAAAGAAGGGGAAATTGTGAATTTGTAAAATCTATAAGGGTATATAAATGATGTATGGTAATCAATAGTATTATTTTGGCTTTAAAATATGTTTAAAATAAGTAATTTTAATTAATTAGTACTAGCTTTCTATGCATGCATGACCAGTCATGATGGGAGGCTAAAGCGACAATATTTTCATTTCTAAATTGTCTGGAAAGCCTCCGTTGGCGCTGCTTGTTTCTTGAATTCCTGCCCAGCTATATATTAAACTTTTTCTAGAATACCAATGAGATTTTAACTCGAAATTTTAAATTTTAGAACTGATTCTAATACCATGGTATATTATATAACTTTATTTATCACTCTTAAGATCATACAATCAACCTAACAGTTGTCTACAAATTATTTATATTTCTTTGATATTTTTAACCCTTCTTTTTAGTTGGGTAACGGTGGAAGTAATTAAGATTGATGTTGCCATGTTTTCTCCTATAAAAGCTAACCACCAGGAGCTGCTTCTCAAATGAAAATTGTCAAATAGTCTAGAATGGCTACAGTTCCAGCAAGAGATAAGTACAGGTCTTTCCTGCATGATGAACCAGATAGTGTTCAATGGCGACATGGTGGCCCTCCAACATATGATGCTGTGAATCAGCTCTTTGAAGAAGGCCGAACCAAGGTGCCCCCAAAGCCTAGTTCTTTTCTTAACTCTCACCAAGTTTTTTCAATTTTTATTTCAGGATTGTAAGTTTTCGATTTTTTTTCTTTTGATATTTTGGGGACTGGAGATCGGGATTCAGCCCCGACTCTTTGAGTAAATTATATGCATTAATTATCGAGTAGGATGCAAAGTTTGTTGTATGTCTTTACAGGAATGGGCAGAAGGATCACTTGAAGAAACAGTGCAAAATGCTATAAAGTCATGGGAGATGGAAATTTCCCACAAGGTTCGCTTGCAAGACGTCAAGTCCATTAACCCTGAAAAATTCAAGCTCATCGTTAATGGTATGCAAATGGTTTAATTCGAATAATAAGGAAACTACAAACTTTAATATCTTGAGAATTACTCCACCTATTTTCTCCTTTTTTTTTTCTTTTTACTATTTTATTTCTTTAATAGGTTATAATTAATCAAAATAAACATATTATTTTTTATAAACTAACTTTTAAGCCCTAACCTTTTAATCAGATGAAAAGTCTTTGAATAGAAAAATGAATTTAATTTATCAAAATAACAATCAATTTGCTACTAGAAAAACAAAGAGTTTATACATACAAAGAAAATAATGTGATAATGGGTTAGTTGGGAAAAGTTGTATGAAACAATTATGTCATGCCAACATATATCACTTTCATTTAAGTTATATCACGTAATTATATTATTAAAAAAATCAATATTATATTACACATTACATGTGATAATTAAATAGTAAATAATTATTTTAATATATTAATTAATAATTTTATAATAAATAATTAATTTTTCTAATAATACCATTATGTAACATGATTTAAATAAAAATGATATATGTTGATATGGTATAACTATTTCATTCAATCTTTTTTTGGTAATTGAGTTGGTAAGTATCGAATTCTTTATTTATAAAGTCTAAGTCCGATTCCTGCCAAAAATTTCCCTTGTGAATAATCTTTAAGTTCAAGTAAGTTTTTTCTAAGACCTGCAATATGCCCTGATTCTAGAAGGAGATAACATCCTCCAAACTTTCAATTACCAAAAGGAAAAAAAAAAAAAAGTGAGCACGAAGAGTAATTGATCTTTACAAGGCATCACAGCTTAACAATCTTAGATCACTATCATGTAGGATTATTAAATTTTTAATAGACAAAAAGATCTAATCACTAAGATTATAAATTTTGAAATGATCATTCCATATCAAACATCACCTAAATCACATGATATGATTAATCTTAGAATTAATCTTAGAATTAATCTCGATGTTGTTAAAAGAATTATTTGTAGTACTAAACAATTATAACTTGCTAAACATGCACGGTGATTGCAGGAAGAGAAGGATTGACAGGAGAAGAGACAATGAAACTTGGGACTTACAATGCACTATTAAAGAATTCTCTACCGAAGGAGTTCCAATACTACAAAGCAGATGAAGAAACCTTTGAATCATCTCATGAAGTTTTTCGTTCAGCTTTTCCGCGTGGATTTGCATGGGAAATCATCAGTGTTTACTCTGGACCTCCTGTAATTGCTTTCAAGTACAGGCATTGGGGTTTCTTTGAGGGTCCTTTTAGGGGACATGCCCCAACCGGAGAGAAGGTTGAATTCTATGGGTTGGGAACTGTTAAGGTAAGTTTTCAAAAGTATGTTGCTTCGATTTTTCTTTTCGCATTCCATATATATTTGAGATGAGTAAAAAAAAGTAAAATATTCAAATGATTCTCTTTACAATATACAACCAAAAAGAGTAAAATTATCAAGCAAAATAAACTTTTTAAAAGTAATTTAATTTTGGGTTTGGGTGCAAAGTATAATTTAAAAGTAAAATTCAGGGTTTTAATTTAAAAGTTTTTAGTTGGAATTGAGGTAGGTAGAGTAAATTCTATGAAATAAAAATAATTATATACTTCCGTTTATAAAAAAAAATAAAAAAAATTACTATGCTTTCATATGTGCTGGTGGCTTTCCTTTTGACAGGTTGATGAATCTCTCAAGGTAGAAGAAGTTGAGATTTACTATGACCCTGCAGAGCTATTTGCTGGCCTATTGAAAGGTCCATCAATCTCAGAATCAGAAACTGGCCATGAGACTTCACCTACTGATCATGGCTGCCCGTTCCAAAACTAAATTAATATGCATTTCCGAGAGCTTTCCTGTGCTTCAATTAGTGCCGTATAGGCAGCATTTGCTTTGTCAACATCAGCTTTTTATCTATTTATATTGTCGTCATCTACATCTACTGTAATAAAGCACTATCTTAAACAATAATCCTTATATATTGTGTCTTATCTGTTTGTTTATTATAATGAAGCATCAACATCCCTACACAATGCATACCACTATCTATGCACTTTATATAAAACTTTTAGAGCTCTTTCCAAGGGTCCAACTTCAAGAATCATAAAAAAGCCACTGAAAATGGGCTATAGATGCCCCCACGCCCATTCTAAATTTTAAACACAAAATGAATCCGTAACTTATTATTAAGTTAATTCATACAATCTCCCATGACATTAACAAGCTCGAATTCAAATTGCAAAACTTATAACATATTTTATCTTTAAATTACCTCCTATTTTGTAAAAAAAAAAAAGAAAAATTAACAAAAAAAATCATGCACATAAATGCTCTCAATATATTGCTTACTATAAAAAATTAGAGCTATGCACATAATAAGTTATTCTTTTATACACCACTCCACAAGTGAGATTAAATTATTATCGCCTGTCGTTTTATTTATCATGCTAATTTATTAGCTTTAATATATCTTAATAAAATATGTGACAATTTTCTAAGTTTGCTCATAAATTTAAAAACTTCATGGATGGACTGTGTAAGAAATTATTCTTCTTCTTAGCCACAGGAATTAATTGTCAATGTTGCATGCATATTACATTTAACAATACAAAGAATATTATTACAAAATTGATATGAAACTTCTAACCTTTTCAGTGGAAATCAATTTTAGGGTCTATGCCATGTCGACATTCATCTACAAGAGCCACATTTAACATTTCAGTGCAAAATGGATCGTCTGGTTTCAGCCATAAAGCCTGTTTAGGAAACAAGAATAGGAAGAATAAATTCAGAGATTTAGGACAAAAAAGGAATAACTTGCATTGAAGCTGTACTTCACCAATCCTACAACTCTTACAAAAGAAAAAAAAAATCAAATTACTATTACATCTTACGTTAAAAATAGAAAACAAACAATATATTTTCCAAAAATCATGATACTAAACAATGTCGAACTAGGCTTAAAGGAGATGCAGCACTGAGATGGGGATGGTCCGATACATTTCAAATAAAAGCAACGAAAGTAGATCCTTGATTACTGACCTTATGATAGTATGTGATTGCAGCAGTGAAATTATCCTGCAAAAAGTTAAAAAAAAAAAAATCATTTACGTCAGACATTCTACTGTAAACAAGAAACTAGGCAGATACACAACTTGAAACTTGTACGTTCTGAATAGTTCGTTTAAAATAACCCATTATTGCTTTACTGCTTGCATTTATTGAAGGGGAAATTGTTTGCTTTGACCCTCCTTCAAGTTCTCGAAGTACATAGAATACAACCCACTAGTATTTATATCATGAGCACCATTGACCAACCCACCCAGAGATGGATATGTTAAGGACTCATTGCCAACTAGTTTATTAAGTCCGGAAGCAGTAATCAGCTTATCACTAACTTAAAAAAAATTCCATGTACTGTCTGAAAGAGCCACCATAATGAAAAATTCATTCTCAAGGCATTCTTAACAAAATATAACAACTTTTGTTAAAAAAGGAAGTATACAAGGACAGCAAAGGGACAGACCTGCAAATGGTACGTGTATGCAAGACCGGCATAAGTGCTCAAGCTTTTAGTTGATAACGTAAGTGCTTTCTCATAGAATGAGATTGCTTCATGAAACAACCTGACACACAATATGCACATATAATTAGCCTCAAAAGATTGAGCTTTGCACTAATCATTTTGCAAATTAACACCACCAAAATCAAACCAGTATCTATACTCTTGCAAAAGATTTGAAAACACAAATGCATAGAAATGTCATTTTCCATCTACCTCTGTGGCATTCAAGCGGAATGGCAAAGGGAAACCTTTTTCTTGTTAAATAAAAATTAGTACATATTTACATTTGAGAAATCCAGACCAACAAGATATTGCAAATTGTCTTTGAATCTCCCAGCAGAGAGAGTTGAAAGCTTGAGACATACTATCTTAAAATTTAAAGGAAAACTGAAAGAATGGAAACCTTCTCAATTACAGCCAAAAGCATATAGATATCTAGACTTACTCAAACACAAGCGTTAGCATAAAAAACACTGTTACCTATGTTGACAGAAAATGGTATAGAAGTTGGGTCATCGGTAAACAGCTTTAACAAAAACCAAACAATGGCTATATTAGTGTCCTGGTTCCGAAATTTGCTCTTTCATTCCTTCTTATCAAACAGGAATTATGGATGAAACTAAATGATCTGTCTTGCGCTGAAATTTTAAAGGTGGCTCTTGCAGATGAATGCATATGTTGTATAGAGACAAAAATTTTCAAAGGAATGAGTAGCATTTAATGCCATTACACATTGAGTATGCAATACTAATATTATGAAAAATGTGTAGTATTTTATGTTATGTAATGGAACTTATCATATAAAAATAAGGTAATACTTAGGTTGTACTTGAACTTCGGGAAATTTCACTTTAGGTATATGGAGTACTCAAAAGGGACTGAATCTTTCTGACCCTAGCCAAATTATTTGGTTAAACCCTTACAACAAATTGCAACAGATACATATTTCAATTAAAGAGGAAATATCAAGGCCAAAAAATACAGCTACTCTATATTCGTAAGAACAATGTACATCCCCAAGACTACGCATGGCACATAAGATAAACACCTTTCATTTCCTCAATGGTATTGCAAACACAACCATGATTCTACCAACCTATTTTGAGAATTCTCCTAATTATATCATTCACAAGAGTAACCATGCTATCATCCATAGACAATGTAATCAAACTTACGACTACAAACACACTTTGGTAGTGACTTATTTTTCTCTTCAGGTTTTGGAAAAAGCATAGAAATTATTGTGGAGTTAATAGGGAAAAGAAAGTTGAAGAACAACATAGAGTTCCAAAAAATTAAAATATCATACTTCAGTTTCCTATAAGCATGGGCGAGGTTAACCACAGTAGGTTCCCACATTTCAGTTATTGGGGTTGGGATAAGAGCCAATGTTTTCTCAAACCACCAAACAGCTTGATTATACCTGCAAGTTTTTCAAAAAAAAAAAGAAATTGCTGTTTTAAATGATTAACACTAGATATATAACCTAAAAGAACTTTAACCAAATAACCTTTCAGAAGGAATACAGACATATGATATATGATATAAACTTGTACTGGAATCTTTAAAAAAACAGTACACAATGAAATGACAATTTATATCACAAAAATATGTTTTATATGTAATTTGAGAGCATAATCACAAACATTTTAGACTGTTCCCTAGTTTTCATTTTCAAACAAGTTTATGTTTGAAAATTTCCTTCTAGTTAAAGTGCCCATCCAGTGATCAAAGTTCAATTGGAAATAATAATAAACAGTAATAATAATAATAATAATAATAAACACTTTACATTGTTCCCTGGTTTTCGTTTTCTAACATAACAGTATCAATATATTAAATTTATAAACATGCTTCAACAAGTTAAAAAATCTAACTATAAGATAAGGTGCATTATCCTTACTCTTTCATATGATATGCAACAACTCCAAGCTCATTATATACAAGTGGATCTGAAGAGCAAATTGCCTTTGCCTGCATGATAAACTGAAAAAAAAATTCCCTTGTCAAAATTTTTTATCATTCCAGAAAATAATAATTCTGAAGATTATATTAAGAAAAAATAATTGAAATGAGACAGAGACAAAAGAGATGATTATAACAGAAGCAACATAAAACTCAGCAGTACAACACCAAAACAAAGAAATACAATGATCAACAAAATTACAGATAACTTTTCTTCTTTCATCTTGTCAACCAGTATATTGATAGCATTAGCAACTCTATTTACTCCACCAGTTCTGCTAATTTAAGAAATGATAGAGAGAATATCATTCTCATTGTACATGCATAGAATTTGCTTCAGCTTCCAAAACTTATTCTTGAAAATCCCAGCATGATGCTCAAACATTTTATCCTTCGAAATAATAGAGCCTTAAGTGCAATCTCCCTCAACATTTGGGAAGATGGCACAATGCATACAACCACGTCACAATTTTCAGGTTATTGCAAATAACCTCAATATTGATACTATGTTACAATATTATTATCTTTATGGAAATATTATAGTAGTACTTAAACATACTGGATTCTATCTTTTACATAAGTGATTACTGCAGTATAGAGCATGATAGGCCCCCCTACCATTAGGACTTTATATTTCTAAGAGTTGTTCTTAACATACAAAACATCTAATATGACATTTCTACAGATTCTCTTTCATAAAATATTTGAACAGTAACCAGCTCTTATGATGGTTAATTTATTCTGTCTACAAAAGATCTTCAGATACCTAGAGAGTTTTCAAGAGTCCATATAACGGGAGCATATCACCTACAATCATTGTACTACACTTAATCAATCACAATTCATAATTGTGTGGAATCCATCAAAATTTTATTTGGAGCCCACACTTATAGCTGATGAACCCCTACATAATTCTTTTTATGATTGGATAATTGTAGTATTGTAGGTGAAATGCCCTGCCATAAAACAGCCCCTACATACCAATTAATACTAGGAAGTTTGAAGTCCAAAAATAAGTCATTTTACGGATACACTAGCAATGATGATTCTTTAATCCCTCACTGATCTCAGCCAAGATGATAAATGTACCTAAAGTTTACAAAATCGCAATCACCTGTTCAGCAAGCTTGAAGCTGTGAGTCCGCATGTACTCCATTCCAATGTACAAAGTTGGTAAATGGCACCTGGAATAAGAGAATATCAAGATTCAGACTGAAAAAGGACAATGCATAAATAATAAGAGGACTTTGACTATGCTTACATACAAGGCAAAACAAATGGGACTCTATGAATAATGACAACCATGTGTTAATCAAAAGACACAGCTTTTTTATCATAAGAGGAGCAAGGACTACAATGCTTGATAGCACGTTTTAGAAACAGGAGCAAAACCATGAACTTGCAATCTCCAGTCAACAAGGAAAAGAGAAATACTGAGAGCAGTAACATGGATAGAACACTGTGATCAAATATTAGGAAACATATTTCAGAAACCTACAGAAAAGAATAGGATTGCTGATAATAGGCGCCAATAAAGTTTCAAGGAAATAAAGGTACAAAAGAAAGAACTATAAAGAAACAATATCCTTTTACCCTTCACCATCAAGCAACACCTTGATAGAAGAAATAATATATGTATATAAAAATTACCCTGGAAACAAGCGAGCAGCAGTCCTATAAGCTGACATTGCTTGATCGCCCTCTTCTCGAACAGCAAATGCATTTCCAAAACCTATCCATGCTGGAGGAAATGTCCCATCTAAACTTGTAGCCTTGCTGCAGAATGGAGCGAAATCAATCAATTCAATTGATAAAGGAGCATCAAAATTAAAATAATTTTGACAGGTGGTAAAGTTAAATGTTGATCTTAAAGTTATAATGCATATTAAAACTTAATTATCAAACAACCAGGCATCAAATCTCCAAGAAGCACAGAACAGATCACTAACCAGGAAAATTGGAAAAGGACAAGGAGCAAAGCTAACAGAACATCATCAAACATAACCAATGGCCAACTCACGAGACCACCTCTCTTTGAATAATTTCCAAATTATCAAGCAAGAGATATTTCTAAATTAACTCATAAATGGACACAATGTTCATGCCTTTCAAAGCACACATGAAGCCAAGATGCAATAACATCATTTAAACATCTCATGAAGTTTATTTTGACAGGTTGTTTTCTTTTTGTGAGTATCCAATGAGATGGCGTTCTGTACCATCAATATAAAAAATAAAAAATAAAATACTCATGCTTAGGCATCCATTATTTTGGTCTGCATTTAGTAATGTTGTGAAATATTTACCTAAAATAACGGCGTGATTGATCATATTTCTTTATACAATAGTAGTAACAGCCTACAGCAAACCATGACAAAGCCCTGAAAATGAAGTACTAAGCAGGTGAACAATGTAATACAGTACAGAAAGTCACCATAACAGATAGGAAAAGGAAAATATATGCTAAAGTAAACACTTTCTCACTTTTGAGGATAATCCTTTACTAAATTACATGCCATAAGATAAAGCTCATTTGAATGACCAAGCTCCATTGCCGCTGCTAAATGCACCAAGGTACATTTAAGGTGGAAAGGATCCTTTTCAAGCAATCTGCAACACAAAATATAAAGCTTACATTAAATAAAGCATCCTAGGTACCGTTCAGAATCACTTTGGCTTGTATGGAAAATTAAAATAATTAAAAATAAAGGCAGTTTGGACATACGCAGAAGTTAGTTCAAAGCATTTTTGATATTCTCCACATTGATGGTAGTATTCGGCTTTGCATGCCAAAAGATCAGTGTTATCTTTCAAAGTACACATCAAGGATTGGCTAGAAGGATTACTTTTTGAACTTTCCTTTTCAAGTTCTTTAAATTTGGCTTCTACAACAATTTCTTTGTCATACTGCATTTATGAGAGAGAGAGAGAGAGAGAGAGAGAGAGTTGGTGTAAGATAGACCAATGAAAATGAGAAAGTAAAAATGATAATCACTAACAAAACAAACAAAATGAACAAGTAACAAAGATACATGAAATGTATATATTTCAACAGAACAAATTCAGGTAGTGCATTGCCTTTTTTATCAAGCAAGAGTAGAAAGAAGAAAGCCATCCATCTTCAGGACCAAATTGCAAAGATGAAAGTAGACTTGTTTCTGTAATCCAGTAGCAAAAGCCAAAGTTAAAAAGTATTGCTTCATCGAAACCAGTACAATTATTCTGAAACAAAAGTGCTTGATGAGATAAATCTAATGCAAAACTCAGAAAACCTAAGTTTTGGGAATTGAGAGTAAGTATCAAGCTTCAAGGAGTCATTTCTATTCAATTTATTCAAGAGCAGAATAGAACAAAAAAAAAGTTGTTGAAACATCTTACCTTCCTCACATGTAAGCATGTGATTTTCAATAAGACACTCCAAAGCCTGCAAAATTACAAAAGATACAAGCATGAAATAAATCATAAACAACAAAAAAGCAATAACAACTATTATAACATCCCAAAAGTACCTCATAACATAAAGGATCAGCTTTGATAGCAGCTTTGTACCTGAAATCAGCATACCCAAGCAGATCATCCGGAAGTTTTTCAACCAATATAGACATACTCTTTTCAACAAAACCAAGAGAAGAAAAAAAGATCCATACATAGAAACAAGGGTATTCAATGAAACAGGCCAGGAGTTCGGGCAAAACAAATTGTAAAATTATACTCAACATAGCTCTGTCTATTACCACGGCAGAAAAACTTGAAACATAAGAATATGGAAGTCATCATTCCATTGTAAAAACAGTATTACCAAGATTAAAAAAGGGGGAAAAAAAAGAAAATGAAAGTATGAAAGAAAAATAAACCAAGAACCAAGTAATCAAAACTAAGGATTAACTCCTTATCAAGCAAGAAAGCAAGCAGAAAATCTAGGAGACATTATTATCTATATATAATAAGTTTCCAGGTCGAAGCAATTTTCCTTTACTGCCTATTGTTGTGTGCATGCAGGGGTGCATATAAAAGGTATCCAAGGAATCTCAAATGCAGAAAATCAATGGCTCTATATTGTGAAAACTTTAGTTACCAATTCAAACCACAAGTTATAACTTTAATTTAAAATTTTTGTGGTACATTATCTATTTAAAAATTTCCAAGTAGATATAAGAGTTACTACCATGTAATCTTTCAATTACTTATCAGGAAAGTAATGTTATAAAATCCATAACTTGTATAGGTAAAACAAAACAAAACATATACCCTCAAAACCCTCAATGTTTTTTCTTAATAAAACGTGCCTAACCACACCTGAAAATGAAAATAATTTGGTTAGGGAGAGAGAACTTTTTTGCTTGATTGCATTTACATGTACATACCACTGTCGAGCTTGAGCACGATTTTCCAAAGCTTCATATGCCTTTCCTCTTAAAAAGCATATTGCGGAAGAAATCTGTCAGAAAATGTATTAGCCACATCCCTCCAATTAAAACCTTATGTGAAGAGAACCTTCCCTGACTATTTAGAGAGGTCATGCATCTCATATCATTCCGAAATAAACAAAAATAATGACATATAGATCTCCAAGAGCTCCAACACCATGACATGGATAAAGTAGATATATGCTATTCAAAACAAATAAATTTGCAGTACTAAAATAGAACTCTTAGATGGACAAACCAACAGAAAGAGAATAAATCAGAACACTGCATGTTACATCATTCAATGTGATCTTGAGGTAGAAAAGTTTTGGAGAAAAGTTATGGACTGTAGCCAACTACTCCAAGAGTTCTACAATAATTATTTATCCAAAAAAACAATGGTTCTACAAAAACCCTCAGTCACTGTTCACTAAGACACAAGGCTGCACTTTCTGGTCTCTGAGCTTATCTGGCCTGTTAAATATTCAACTTGGTCCAGCTATGAGTCCTTAAAATTGATAGGTAGGCCTTTAAAATGATCCTAGAAATTAAAGCAATTAAAAGAAAAACCTATATTAAATTATACCACTGTCTCTTCTGGAGTTTTTCGCTTAAAAATAAAGCTAAGGCAGTGCTACATGAAATTCTACAACCACCATGCTGTCTCTAGACCTAAGAAGGAAACTAAAGAGATAGTTTTGAAATTTTAGAATTGGTTAAATCCCATTCTAAAACCACCCTATAAAATACAAATTAATCCCAAAAAAAAAAAAATCAAAACCAAACAAACTTTGTTATTTCTGAACTGATTATTTTGCTGAAAGAAAATTAAAATACTAAAAAGAGATTAAAACCAACTCGACCACAACCCAACTGGCCATGTTTTCAAGGCTCCCGAACAACCCACAAGAAACACAAAATAAAAACATTCCTACACTAATGTGAAGGTTTTCATAGCACAAACTAATAACTAAAAAGGGCAGAAATACGGATTGAAACTTTCAGATGTAGAATTGTAACAATGAAAGAAGCAATAAAATAAGATCTTTTACATTGATTTCACGATCTTCCCCATCTTTGTCTAAGTACATGGCACTGTTATCCTTTGAGTCATAAACATTCCCATGTTCATCAAACTTCTCATCTCCTAACATAAAAAGACACTGATCCCACTCCTTGAGCTCCTCCTGATCAAATAAGTTCATTCAAAATTTTAGATATAATAAATATATATAAATATATATATATATATATACTAAAAACCCTAAACCCTCAATCAACAAAAAAAAAAAATTAAACAACAAAGAAAATCAAAATCTTTATCAAATCGAGGCGAGAAAAATAGTTTAAAAAATTCATCAAAATATTATCTAAAAAGATGCAAAAATCTCTAAAAAGTCAATCAACAAAAAAATAATTAAAAAATTTATTACTGAAATTAGACAGTGAATGATTTAAGTAAAATTTATCAGGAAATAAGAAAAAAAATCCTAAACCTTCAATCAACAACAAATAATTCGAAGAAATTATCTAAACAGAGCAGAGTAATATTAATTAAAAAAAAAAAAGACTAAGTCTTTTAGGGTAATTGAATGAGTTTACAAGGCACTTGGCCGCAAGGTAGCGGAAACGAAGATCGCGGAATACGATTTTGGAGGCGTTAAGGAGATGGAAGGCGCGACGGAAGTGGCGACCAAGAAAGAGAGCTTGAGCTTGCATGTAGATGTCGGCGGGGTCATTAGTAATGGCGGCGACTTTGTCGGCGAAGAAAATGGCGGAGGAATAAAGATGCTTGCTCACGCAGTCTCGGACTACGCCGCGGAGTTTCTCTATTTCTTCTTCTCTCATTGTTTAAGGAAATTGAAGGTCTTTTTTTTCTCCTTTTCTGAAGAATTTTAAAGGGGCATTTTTTAGGGGAAGAAACCAAGAGTGGAAAAGAGGGAGTGAAGGGTGGTAATGAGCGGGATTTCAGATTTTGTTGAATTTTTTTTGTTTATTATTGGCCCAAAGGGTTGGTGGGTTTGGTATTGGGATGAATTGGGTATGAATTTTGACCCATTTACAAAATGGATCATTTAAATTCAATCTTTTTTAATTTTAATTTGTAAAAATTGATCGAAATTCAGATTGAAATTGTTAATTTTTTTAATTTGAATTAGAATCGGATCACAATGGATTTAAATTCAAACTCTTATCACAGGGATTTTTAATTGAAACGAGATTATAAAGTATTGAATCTAGGTATCTAAACTTAGCAACTGATGGATTCTTATAACAGAAAGCAATTGAAATGTAAGTTTCCAAACATGAATCGACTTACAATTCATTTGGGAGCCCTGCAATAATTCATTTGGGAGCCCGATTGCAGGGCTTCCATCGCCCCAGATGGGGCTCCCATCGCCCCAGATGGGGCTCCCATCGCACCAAAGAGTGCTTTTAATGGTTAGACCATAAAATGCATTTTTAGGTGTTCTAAGAGTCAATCCCATCACACCAGAAAGCGTGTAACGGTTAGAGCCATTAGCCAAAAAATGCACCCTCAGGTGCAGTGGGAACCCTTTCATCGGACTTCCAAATGAACCCTTACTATAAAATGCTGAAAAACTGCGAGAGAGAAGAAAGAAAGGAAGGTTATACAGAGATTTGCTGCAATGCACAAATACAGACAAAATTTCTCATTAGAAGATGCAGCAGAGTAACCGTGCAAAAACTTCAATCACCAGATATAAGTCAGTGACAAGTTTTGGATAGAACTTCACTAGCTTGTGAGTTTTTGAATCATTCTTGTAGAATTAAGTTTAGCTAAGCAAGATAAAAACTAGGAGACAGAAGAGTCATTTTTCTTCATTAGTTACACCCCTAATGTCGACTTTGGTTCTTTGCTTGAATGATGGTATTGGTTTTAACTGATACTTTTTCTCTCTGGATGAAGCGCGATGTTCCATTCCCTTATTTGAACTGAAATGATTCATCAGTGGGATCAACGATAATCTCCAAACTATAATGGTGGGATACATGATGAAAACAACTGGTTGTCTCACATGATCCATGTCAAGACCTAAAAAGTTATACATCCTTGTATAGCAACTGATATTTCGGTATTCGCTCTGGGGGTAGAGGGCAATTAACAATCAGCTTGCCTTTCATGGCTCCCCTAAATATTGCCTGCAAGGTCAAAGACTAAAGATTAACTCAAAGGTTAAATGTCAATACCAATGTAGAAGTAACAAGCGTATCTGTCAGGAAGAGAAAATTCATTACCAACAGTTATTAGTTATGAACAATAAAATCAATGAACTTTTGTAGCAAATGCAAGCCCATGAAGACTACCCAGAAAAAAGATGGAAAAAATATTAGCAGAGAACACAGAAGGCAGTTCACAAAGAGAATAGCATACATAGACATTAAGAACAAGGAAATACACTGTTACGTTGCCTACTTCTCAAACTTACACCAAAACATATTGCAGCTCCCTAAATTTGAAAGATCTGAATTAAGTATTATATGTATCCCATTCTTATTTATGAATATTAAAGCCCAAAAAGTGTACAATATAAACTAAGCCACCAGGGTCATTCTTAAGCATGTGCTGCAAACAGGCTGCCATCCATCATATGATAATGGCCAAATCCTTGATCACCAAAGATATATATTAGTCATTTAATAGGAAATCACTTCAATCTCTTTTCATATATTTTATCAACAATTCTTTTATTTTCCTCCAAAAAATCGTCCACATGAACATAGCTCACTTCTAGACAACCAGGTATGTAACGTCATAACTTTGTCAACGTTGCAAGTTTTGAAGCAACGCAGATAACAATATGGTGAATGGATAATCATGCAACAACAGGTAAACAGCCTTACTTGCCAACTTTGTAATCAACATACTTAAAAAAAAAAGTAAGAAGAAAATTAAAACAAAAGGTGAGAAAAGGCATTGAACTCAATATGTCAAAGGTGGCATTGCCTAATTCTCAAAAGCTTCCCAATGGTGCAACTTTATTGTGATAAACACAATCTAGTATTAAAACAAAGGTCAATGCTGACCGTTTCTAATTTCCAAGAAATTCTCACAAAAGCAGGGCAACAGTTCAATGTGTCAATGGTAACAATTTTCGGCTATTGGACTGTGCTAGGTGACAACAAACAAGAAATTATCAACTCAGATTCGTAATTTAGTAAAATAAACAATGGAAACAATAATGGCTAGATGAATAAACTGCATCACTCGCTTGTAATGAGATCATTAAATTGTTTAGACACTATATAAAGCATACCTCTACGACATCGATGAAGTCCTGCTTTTCATGAAATGCACCCACCCATTTCGTGTGATCCGCGGTCCTGAATCAACAACAAAACAATACCAACACATTGGAGAAGAAATCTAATATTTGAAATTAATTCACTAAATAGTTAATTTATTTGCAGAGAGACATTTTCTATTTGAAAACAAAACACATAATTAAGTTCAAAAAACCCAAATCACAAACATAATTAAAGACCATAAAACCTGAGACATAGCTAGAACAGTAACTCTAATCAGTGACTTAAAAAGTACAATCAAATTCAATTCATTTAACCAAATTAAATTTTAGAAAAAAAAAAAAAAACAGAGAAATTCGAACGCTAAAGGGTTAAAAATAAATACCCAGAATCCATCTTCATATGGTGAGCATTGAAGAAGAAAACAGTCGAAGGAATCAAAGTGATATCGAAATACTTAACGTAAACCTGAACATCCTCGGAATCTACGTCGACTAAAGCCACCGTCGCGAATTTGGAAACCTCACGCGCCGTCTTGGCAAGGATGTCGTCCAGTTGGAGACAGACGGTGTCGGCGGCACGGCCGAAGCGAAGGACCAGGACCTTGTCTATGGTGTCCCGGATGATCGTGTCTACTTCTTTCTTCGTCGTCAGCGTCGGTAGTAGGTAACTCATTTTCGCTTCCTTTCTATGTTAACAAAGAAGAGATTTTTGTTTATTTATATAGTTATTGTTTATATTTTTATTTTTTATAAGTAAATTTTGGACCAAGAATTTTTTGGGGTTGGACTTTGTAGAGATAATTTCAAGCCCATTTGAAGACCCAATTTCTTATACTACTTTAAGATGTGATTTTCATAGTAATATTTCAATAATTTTTAGATATATTTTTCTAATTAAATTTAAATGAAATTTCATCATTATAAATTAATAATTTTTAAATAAAAAAGTTCTCTTATAGAAGAAACTCTTTTAAAATCTTAACTCAATGGATAAAAAAAATTCCTAACTCAAGCCAAATCCAAAGGTAGGTTTAGCTTTGTGAGATATATGGCCCTAAATCCAAAAGTGTAAACAATTTTTTTTTTCAAAATTGCACTTAACTTTGTACCTATTAAAAAAAATATTTCCTAAATGTTAGTAACCTAATATTGTTTCTAAGAACTAAGTAAATATCTTTTTGGCAAATAAAAAAACACAGATCTTTTACTATTTTTATTTTGTTTTCAGTTGACCCTCTTCTTTATTTGCTATTTTCCAATTTTAAGAAATTTCTAATATGAAAAAATAAAATAAAATGGCTCTTTTAGATAGAGTTTAATATAATTTTCAAGATTATTATGATAATTTATTCATCGAAGTGATCTTATTATTAAAGTGATTTTATCATTTATAATTTGAAATCACTTTATTTTGTTAATAATTATAAAATAAAAATTATTTTTTTTGATCTTATTAAAAATCAAATATTATTTGATTTGAAAGTACGAAAAGAATCATATATATATATATATATTGTAATAGTTATATGAGTTAACGATTCCCTGTTATTTAAAAATAATAATTTAGAAATATTGACAATATATTTATTTATTTCATAATAACTTAAATTATTAAATCAACATATATATTTATTGATAGACAAGTTAATTTTTATAATATAAATTATGTAAAAAATATTTGAATTAAAAAATAAAACTAGTATATTAAAAAACATAACAAAAAAATTATATTATATATAAAACATTAAAAAAAGTAAAAAAAACACAAATTATTTTTGAATTTATTCTAATGAATACTCGTTTGAAAATATAAAATAATTATAATTTTGTAAAAAAAAAGTAATTCACATATTAAATAGATAATATTAACAATTGTTAATTTAAAATATTACTTCACCTCGATAGTAGAAAGTTTTCTATCATTTGAAATGAGAATCAAATTCTTTTTAAAATAGTGATCTAATTATTTTTGGTAATTCAAAATCATTGTTATATAGGATTACAAAGTATTTATCAAATAAAATAATCTAATTATCATGTATGGATCACCATGATTTTTTTACGACCAACACACACTAAACACTACTTAATAATATTTATTTATTTTTTTTACAAATGAGATCGCAATATGAAAAAAAAAAAAAAACCTTACAAGTGCTATAATTTGAATTTCTAACTAGATGTTAACCCTAAAATATGAATCAATTAAAAGTTTCAAATTTAAAAAATGTACCTAATTTATTAATTAACAATTCATCATAAACAAATGTAAATCTATTTATTTGATTCATAAACAAACAAACAAAAGCACCATAATAAAAAAGGAAGCAAAAATCGTTACAAAACCAAGCTTTTTTTGGAAGCAACCATCCCAATAATGAAGTGTTTAGCATGCAAATGTTGGCAATGGGATCCAATTTCATACTTTCATTGACATTTCACTGGCAAATAGCAATAGTTGGTTATGCTAGACCAAAAGTTCAAAATGATGAAGTCCCAAGCATGCAACCTTTTACCGATCCATGCCACTTTACTGGCTAACAAAAAGTCCAATTGATAATATCTATTGTATTTGGAACACATGTTCCCAACATCCCAAGACATGGGTCAGATCAAATTATTACTGTAAAAAAGACAATGAAAATATAAGCTACCCGACCATATATTCTCATCCATCTCATCTGTAACTTTCAAAATATTCCAAACTAATTCAAATTTCAAATTGGCTTATTCTCAACTTGTTAGCCAAGAAAGAAGAATGCAAGAACGGTCATTTCAAAATAACATCTTAAACCCCACAAAATCTCACTGGAATCCGAGAAACTCTCATATTCCTACCATAATCCTTTATTAACATTAATATTGAATGTACGATTTTTGGTTCATCACATTTTACCCTAATCTAAAGAGTGAACAACCTATATATATATATATATATATTGATATATTTGCTACTGAAAAAATAAATGTTTTCCTAAGTATTAACAGTGTAAAAGAATCTAAAGTATATATAAATATATTAATAATCTGGTGTGGGTGATTGACGCCAGTTATATATTATGATTGTCCATCTTGTTTTGACAGCATATATACGTGATATTAAAATCCTCTAGTCGAAGTAGATGATCCAGCTGTTCATTTTTAATGTATCATTAAATTTTGTGACCTGAGGATAGGGGTCTAAAAGAAAATGATTGTCCTCCAATCCATAGAACAAGAGATTTCAGTGACCCAACCCTTTATTTTTCTGCTACAATCCTCAAAACCTTTTACCAAGCTACCTGTTTCTCATGATCACACCCCCAACATCATCAAAAGCATAGTACTCATTTTCACCTCCCTATATATATATTTTAGCTAAGAAACTTCTTAAACTTTTATATATCCATCTCTCTTTCTCTTTCTCTTCCTTGTCTCTTCATGGCAATCTCTGAATCTTCTTCTTCTTCTTTACCACCTTCCTCACCAGGAAGTTCACCTCTAACCAGCCCTAGTATCCAAGTGGTTTCGAAATCGGTATCCGAAAGACTTCTGGGCAAATTCTTTGACGCATCTCAATATGATTTTGATTATGAGCAGAGTAGTCTGTGGTCTCCTCCAGTAAGAAGAAGTGTGTTCTTGACCTCCCCAGCTGGTATTATTTGCTCTCAAGATGAATTCTTCTCCAAACTCAAAAAGAAGGCTTGCAAATGTCGCTGGCGCAATATTGCTTGCTTCAGTGTATGCACATTGCATTTCTCTTGGGTAACTCAGTATATATCTGATAATAGACTTTTTTTTTTTTACATCTTCTTATTAATCAATATTTCCTGTTAATTGCTGCATAACAATCAACATAAGCAGATGCTTTGAGAGATTACATGTTTATTATCATCTTCATTTTTTTTTGAAAGGGTAAAGGATTTTGCTAATATTCTTTACTTTTTTGCCTATGATAATAAATTAAATATTAATTATATATGTGTGTATATATATTTGAGGTAATTTAATTTTGATCATTAAAATTAAAATTTAATATTCTATCAATAAATAAGATAAATGTTATCTGTATAAATATTATAATAGATTCATAATTAAATATCCCAATATGATTATATATTTAAAATCATTCACTAGTTAGTTTCTTTAATTAATTTTATATTAAGTCCCACTTTTTTTTAATATTCATATTCGATTCATATATGACAAATAGCAGTCTACCCCTTTAAATTATGAAACAAAAATTTAAAAATATAACATGTTGGACATATCTTCATATGCGATTCTCATCCTGAATTTGAGTAACATTGAATAAATTTATATTGGTCATGTATTTTAGAATTTATTTGTCAATAACAATATATCTGCTTAATATCACCCTAGTTATATTCATTTAATGCCATATATATTGTACGTCTAACACTCTAAACCTCAACCTTCATGAACTGATATTTGGATGCTTTTTGGTTGGTAAATCTGCAGGCCCTTTGGTGCTTTTGAAGAAGAAACTCTTGTTTCCCAGCACCTCTCCCATATTTTTCCTTCAGGAAAGGCTTGTTTTGTGTCAAATCAATTGATGATCAGAACCCCAGTTCTCTTAAAGCCATATATTCCAACTTGTCTCAGTCAGAAAAGGGTCCCAAGTCAAAAAGGAAACTAACCCTCAAAGGCTCAAGCATGTGCCATTGCATGTAAAACTACGTTCATGTTATCTTTTCTGTACCATCCCTTTCTAATATAATACTCTGATATTATAACATTTTATTTCGGTTTTTTATTTTCAGTTCCATGCTTTTCTTTTTCTTTTTCCTTTTAAAACTTTGAATATATTGAGATTCTAAAAAAAAAAAATGTCAGTTATAGAAAATTTGAAATGGCACAATGACCCATCAGCAGACAAATGTTCAGAAATCTGCAGCAAGCAAAAGAAATTTGCAGCAAACAAGATTTTTGTTCTTTTTTGATAAAGACCCAGAGGTTTGCTTTTGAGTCTAATGACAAATTCTACTGCAACAAACGGTTCATTTAAGATCCAAAGGTGTGACATTCCTTTTTTTTTTCTTTCTGTTTTGCCTCTTTTGTCTGTAATAAACTTGAATTAGATTCCCTCTCCCTTCGTTTTGCAAGTGTAACATTTTTTTTTTTATTCATGGATCATGACTAATCATTTAATTGAGTCAAATTGAATTGATACATTGTTAAGTTTAAGTTCAACTCATATTCAAAACTTAAAAAATTGAATCAAACTCAATCGAATTTTATTTTTTATATTTGAGTTTAGTTTGTAGTTTAATTGAGCTATTCATGCTCAAACTCAGCTCAATAAATTTTATAAAATTATAAATATTGATATTAAATATTATATTTTTTATTATTTATTTATATATTTAATAAAAAAAATCAATTAAACTAAAAAATGTATCTAATCAAACATTAAATTATTCAAATTTAACTCATTTCAACTACTTGAACTTGACTCTACTCTGAACTTAGCTCTACTTATTTTTAAAAAAAATTCGAATAGTTTACAAAAGCTTAATTTGTAAAGCTAAATGGACTCACAACTATCATCACATGTTTTCACTTTCTAATCATCTAAAATCAACCTAGTTTGGGGCATAAAGGCTTTTCATGAGCATTCCTACAAGTCTTTGTAAGGAGTTTGGTTTGATGCAAATGCAGAATTGTTTGTTGAAGCTTAAAGGACATGCATTTAAAGAAACCATTTTATAAAATGATGAGAAGTTAATTATATTATCTTCATCGCCAATAAGCGTCACTAAATAAGTTCTTGTTGGAAAGAATTAATTTAATTATTTGATACAAACAAAAATTAGGTCTGAGATTTTCTAGTGCATTGATTAAAATCATAAAAAAAAAAAGAGTCTTGGCGTAGTAAGGTTGTTATCATGTGACTCGATGATTATAAATTTAAATCGTAAAAATAATTTTTAATAAATATATACAAAAATTATGTATAATAATTTTTTAAAAATATTATGTATAAAGAGAATTTTACGCATCGAACTATCAAGATTGCGTATAACAGATTTTTTTTTTTTTTTAAATATCGTGTATAAAGAAAGCTTTATGCATCAAATTGTTTTTTTTTTTTATTAAAATCATATTATTTTTTAAAATTCTATTTTGATATATAAGATTAAAAATTCATTTTATAATTTTAAATTATTACCATTATATATTAATGATATTTAATTTCTGTTCTAATTACTAAAAATGTTCATTTTTAATACATATTTTTAATATTCGACTATTATTTCTATAAAAAATAATTAAATATAAAAAAATCAACTAAATGAAGTTTAAAAAAATAAAAAAAATATAATAGAGAGATAAAAGTAATTTTTGTCACCTGCAATTTTACCATATACATCCTAAATTCAATTTTAATTTTTTATTTTTACTAATCGATTTTTTTATTTTCTCTTCTTACTCTTTCAGTTTCTGTTATTTTCTTCTCTTCAATCAAAACCTTAAATTAATCCAAATAATCCCAAAACTTCGTTTTTAAGTTTTTTACTGATTAGAGGTAGCATTTCTAACTTTTTTAAGATTAATTTAGTTAAAATGTGATCGAAATTCATTTAGAAGTAAGGTTTAGGGATCACGAGGTTGAATTGGAGCTTCTCCAAAATGCGTTTCAGACAAAATCCTTGGAGCCGAGCAAAAATTTCAAATTTCAGTTAACCTCTTTCAATTCCAAAACCCAGTAGAAGAACGAAATATATTGAAAATTGTAAAAAAAAAAAAACACAGCAAAACAATGAAAATTCCAAAACCCATATCTTCTTTTAGGCTCTCCTCTCTTATTCGCATCCAAAAGGACCCAACCCTCGCCTTCAACCTTTTCAAAAACCCAAACCCAGACCTCAAACCTACCGGTAAACCCTTCCGCTACTCCCTGCTTTCCTATGACCTCATAATCACCAAGCTCGGTCGCGTCAAAATGTTTGATGAAATGGAACAGGCTCTTCACCAACTCAAAAACGATACCCGTTTAGTCCCAGAAGAGATTATTTTTTGCAATGTCATGAAGTTCTATGGTCGGGCGAAGTTACACGATCGTGCACTGAAAGTGTTCGATGAAATGCCTCAGTATCGTTGCCAAAGGACCGTAAGGGCTGTGAACTCGTTGTTAAATGCGTTTTTGATGAGCAAAAAGTTTGATGAAATGCAGGAAGTGTTTTTGGGTATGGAAAAATATGCTCGCCCGGATGCATGTACTTATAATATATTGATTCGTGCATGCTGTTTGAATGGGTGTTTGGATGGTGCTTGGAGCCTGTTTGATGAAATGCAGAGGAAAGGTGTGAAGCCGAATGCGTGGACGTTTGGGGCTTTGATTAACGGGCTCTGTCTGGAGTTTAAGATAAAGGAAGCGTTTAAGTTGAAAGAAGACATGTTTAGGATTCATAGGGTGCCTCCAAATGCAAGTGTTTATGAGGTGATGATTAGAAGGCTTTGTGGGGTTGGTGAGTTGACTTTGGCGTTTAGGCTTAAGGAGGAAATGATTAGGAAAAAGATGAAGTGCAATTCGGATATATACAATTCTTTCATTAGTGGGCTTTTTAAGGTTGGGAGGAAGGAGGAGGCTTTCGGGGTCTTTGAGGAAATGGATTTAAATGGTATTAAACCAGATACGACTACTTACAATGTGATGATCAATGAGTTTTGTGAGCTGAAGGATTTTGATGCAGCTTATAGATTTCTTGAAGATATGGCAGAGAAAGGTTGTAAACCAAATCTTATTAGTTATAATATATTAATTAGCTGGTTGTGCAAGGATGGGAAGTGGAGTGAAGCAAATGATTTGCTTGAAGACATGCCAAGACGGGGGTGCATACCTGATGTTGTGTCCTATAGGATGCTTTTTGACGGGCTTTGTGGTGGATCACAGTTGAAGGAAGCAGCATTCATTTTGGATGAGATGATTTTCAAGGGCTACGTACCGCATTCTGCAAGTATATATAAATTTGTTGCAGGGTTGTGTCAGGAAGGGAACATGGAGTTATTATTGAGGGTTTTGAATAGTCTAGCAAAAGGAAATGCAATTGATCAAGATACATGGCTAATGGTGGTTTCTAGGGTTTACCAGGAAGATAAACTGTCAAGCGCATCTGAGCTTCTTGATGCTCTGGTGCTGTAGTGCTACTATCAAAGTTTCATGACCTGTCATGGCCTTGTTTCCTAGTTTTAACTTCTTTGAATGTAAGTAATTTAGAAGTCTAATGCTCTTTTGTTTCACAGAAAATTATTTATCACATTTTTAGGTATTTGTTTGATAGAATTGGTTGGTCAACGAAAAATAATTTACTGATCAATGAAAAATAAGATTATTTTTTTAAAAATTATTTTATGGATTTGAAAAAAAAAAGATATTTTTCAGAAAAGAACTGTTTATAAGTAGAATTACATATTAATGCTTTTAGGCATAATTTTACTTATAAATAATACATTAATAAATAATATTAAAATATAATAAATAATATATTAATAAATATTATAATAATTATTAATATTATAAAAAACAGATTTTATAGAAAATAACTAAAAACATTTTTCATTAACTTATCCAAATAATAAAAAATCTTTACTTTTAAACATTTTTCAAAAATAATTTTTTGAAAGTTGTTTTTCATGAAATAAACGAAGTTTAAGTTGCTCCTTAACTAAGAAAATCTCTTAATTTCTCTAAAAAAAAAATGAAATTCATTTTTAAGTTGGTCCTTATTACGTATCTTTTAACTTCATATATCTAAACAAGACAATTTAACAAAAAATAATCATTTTATTTAACAGTAGGAGAAGGAGAAGGTGAAGATTAAATGTAAACATTATCATGCCATAGGTTAATCATTTATATAAAATATTTTAAATATTTCATACATGCGTATGGCCATTAAATACAATTAATTTTTTTTTCTTATTGTGTTTGATAGTGTTGAAATAAAGAGAAACAAGCTTTTATAATAAAATCAAGAGATATTAACACAAACAAAAATGGGGTTTCTTTTATTTGATAATTACATATCTTCTTCTACTATATTATTTTTGAGAAAGTATATCACATTATAATTTTTTTTTTTTTATCATTCGTCTCTCAACTTTGTTTTTTGGCTAGTAATTATGATGTATAACTTTCAATAAAAAATTTTTAGAGGTGCATAAAGTAATAATTTTTTATGTATAAAATTTTATTTATTTGAGCTATTATGGCATTGATTAAAAAAAAAATTCACTCACACACACATATATACGTATATAGCTGAAAATATGCCTAATTTAGAAGAAGAATTCTGGTCAATATTGGCACTGATTTCCCTAAAACACAAAAAGAACTGAAATGAAAAAAAAAAAAAAAGGCAAAAACTTGAAAAGAATCTAAATAAGCAAAGCTTAAATTGTTCCCTAGGCAACTATTTGATGCTGCAAGGACGTCTTTGATGGGTTGATACTCTTCCAATAAGCGACTCCTTCTAATACGAGGGCAATGGTTCCCAAGAACGAGATTGCAACAATGTAAGTCAACTGAGGCCAAGTCTTGATCCCAAAATGAACCATATGAAACCCCAAGAAGACATTGGCAATGCTTAAGCCAATGGTTCCATAGCCAACTGAGTAGTGAAAAATGTTGAAGTAGACTCTCTTTTTGTCTTCCTTGTGAGGCCTGTAATACCCTACTATCCCTTGAATGGCTCCAAGGCAAAGAACGGTAATTCCAATATATTGATGGCTTCCTGCACCAATTCCAACTCCAAGTATTCCAACCCAAAGCGAAACACCAATGATCCCACCAGCCAAACCCATCAAATAAGCTGTGCATTGACAAAATCTATGGGCATGAAACCAAGCAGGGCCTGGCCCTAGGAATTGTCTGCCATGCCTTGCTATCAAAGCTCCAACAGGTATTAGAAAACCCCATCCGAATGCGCATAAAACTCCATGAACTATTTTCCCATGGTTTCTTGAACTACTTGGTTTGTTTACAAGTATCTTACCGGAAAGAAAATCTAAGGTTCCCATTGAACCGACATTGGGACCGGACAATCGGTGCATCCCAGGAACATTCCCGACTAGGGGTCCTTCTTGCCAGAGGTGATTCACGGTTGTAGTGTTGGCAGGCAGTGTCAAAGTCGCAAAGATGATCATCTCGTTATCTTTAACAATGGACGAAACCCCATCAACAGGGAAACTAAGGTTTCCTTGCTCAAGCTGAGTTGCGTAACTTGTTATGGACGAAGTATAAGCCGCCATGGTTCCATCATCTCTTGGAAAGGCAACCAAAGCTTGTGAACCCACCATGCCTTTTGAGTCAGGATTGATAGCCCAGGAAATCCATTTTGATTTCTGATCAGCACTGCTTCGCCTGAACGCAATCTCGATTGTTTGAGACGATGAGTGGTAGTTCCAATGAAGTGAGCAATTCAACGATGGTAAGTCGTTGCAAGAGGCAAAGGTTTTACCTTCGTCAAACCAGTGGTTGCCACAAGGTTCAGAAGCAGCAGAAGCGAACAAGAAAGAGAGCAAAAGAAAGGAAAAGAAGAGGGATTTCAAAGGAGCCATGGGAGAATATTTGTTGAATGAGAAGAATGGCTTCTCAAAGCCTGTCCTCTTCTGCTTTATATAAGCTTACATAGTCGGTGTTATAACTCCTTTACCACCTAGGAGTAGGATTAGGGTTTTAGCTTTGCTCTTTACTTTTCATACAAGAATTAATTTTTTTAGACAAATCTTGATTATTATGTAGTAATTTCGTTTTAAATAGTCTTTTTTATCATGTTGCATATTAAAATTTATAAAAAGTAAAAATTACAATTACAATCAAACAATTTTCAATATTTATAAAATAATAAATCCAAGGAAGAAATCATGAATCAAATAAACAAAACTTTGAATATTTTTTGAACTACAGAAAGTTACATAATTAAATTATACCAAATTAAATAAATAATTTAAAGCGGATAATCAGCCTTAATTAATTTTTTTAGAATATTACATTTCCAAGCAAAAATATTTAAACAATTCTCAACGTATATATAAAATAATATGATCAGGAGAAAACAATAAATAAATTAATCAAACAAACAAATCAATATATAATTAGATAAATTAAATTTCTATCATTTATAAAGTTGAAATAAATTAATCCACTCACATTACAACTTGAATTTAAAAGCTAAAGATTTCAAAACATTCTTCTTGCTATGGAGCAATTTGTCATTGGCTATATATTTAACTAGGATAACATGTTCAAACTTATAAAGAATTATCTTTTCTTAGTCGAAAAACAGCACTGAGGGTTTAATATGCATAGATATAAATTGCATCAAATGTCATTGGCCAAAGTTAATCCAGAAATATTCTGGATCATAATCAAATTTCTTCTTAAACAATGAGTTTGTTAAGAAATTTAATCTTTGAATTTTTTTCATTTAATTTCTAAAAAAGAGTATAACTTCACAGCGTGACTAGATTTATAGAACCATTTAATTGCTATGTCAAAAAGCTTGTGAGGAAGTCCCAAAAATTATCATATAGGCCCTTCTCTCATGCGATGAATTATTTTAAGTTTTGAGTATGGGTTTTGAAAAGCTAGTCTAATTGGTTCGATTTGATTTACGAACATCTTTATTTTGATAATCAATCAACCATTCTTCATTAATTTAATCGAATAATAATTTGATATGTCAAAATAACTTTCTCACAAGATTTAACTAAACTAAATTAAGTGGCAAATTTGCATTGAAGTTTTGGGTAGATGTCATGGATGAGCCATCTTGCCATGAATTTATAAGCCTGTTGTGTTAGATGAGCACCATCTCAACTAACAAATTTAGCAGGATTTGAACACACTGGAACTCCTCGAGCTCCACATATAATCCCCTCCAATTCCACAACAAGCTTTTTGTATCAATTTGGTATCAAAACCTGTTACAATCAAACGAATCGGAAAAATTAAAATGATGAACTTTATAATTTAAGAGTAAATTACACTATTATTTGTGATCATTTTGTAATATTTAAGAACTAATTTTTTTTCCAATGAATTATTCCTAATCGACAATCCATCTACATGTCAGTAGAATATCTATGGAATTTGCCGAGGGACAAATTTATTTATATTCTAAAGGTATTTTAACTGATTAATGGATTTAAAACAAAAAGTGTCGTGGATGAAAAATCAAGATTTTTAGGTTTCGAATGAAAATAAAACATTGGAAACAAAATCAAAGATAATTTTTCAAAATACCCATAATATATACAAGTAAAACAATATGAATATTTTGGAAAGAATTTGAGCCTACCAAGTATTTTAGCATTGCTCAAAAGCCAGTGATATGCTTCATGGTTGTCACCATATGCTATAATCACATCGGGATGTAACTTTCTCAACTCTTCAATGGCTTTCTTGAGATGATTATTGTGGTAAATTGATAAGTTATTGAAGCCCTTTAGGCAGTGGAATTTATCATAAGCAGCAGTATCATTGGTTTGGAATACTGTGAGAAACATAGGCATACAGCCTATAGGGAAGTTTCCAGGTACGATCAACATAACCTATGACTCTCTGCAAGTAAAGGAAGCAATTGTGATTGAGAGCTTATTTGCTATAATTAAAAAGTTCACAGCACAAAAAAAAGTATGTATCTAATTATAAGGTTATTTTATTCTTGATAATGCTAACAATTGTATTGAATCTTCCATATCTTGTTATTATATATTTCAGCTATTTGTAAAGGAGACTTACTTTGACAGCATATTTTATGGCTTGGACAATTTCGTGCACCATAGCCCTAGTCTCTTCAAGGTTCTTGCTGCCTTCTAACCAGGCATTTTTAGACGCTCTTTTCGAACTATTTAACATAATTTATTTGCCAATATTTGTAGTTTATTAATAAATTATTGAATTCTTTTATTTTCAATGATAAAGAGCTAATCACAGATAATTTAAAAAACATTATATAAATTATTATTTTCTAATTAAAGAAATCAACAATAATATCAATATAATAATCAATAATCAAGTGGTTTGTGATGTTGGATTTTTAATTTCAGTGATCAATTATTTCACATAAAAATAATATAATGTCAGGATAATAATTATGTTCATATAGGTGATACCAAATAAATAAATAATTCAATATGTATAATTGTAAGCATATTGTTAAAAGAGGGGATCACCTTTGTGGTTTTGACATGTTCTATTGAAATGGGTAAACATCCAATCAAGTTGTATGCTAAGAGAACTGTTGGTAACTTCAGCTGTAATAATATTGAATCTTGTTGCTAGAATTTCCACAGGCAAGGCAGTGGCACCGGCAACTGCAAAATCCACACCGCTACTAGTACTTGAATTTTCGTTCAAGTATGCATCCAGGAAAGGAATTCCATCTGACCTTGTTGTATCGAAGTCCAAAATATATAAAAAATATTTCAGGAAATTAATTTTCATCAAATTCAATAAAAAAAAAAAAGATCATCAAAGTGAAAGATTGCGTACCAAAATAATCAATCATTATTAAACCATTGCGCATCTACCAGTATCATTTTTGAAGAAGGTTTCGCCATATGGAAGCCTAGAGCAGGCAAATGAAGCGTTCTCTCCGATCAAATTGCCGGTATGGGATGGTGAATCTCCAAGCTGATATATTGCATCAAATCCGCAAGTCTCAAGAACGTGCGTATTACACGGAGGAGGAAGAAGAACAAAAAAGAAAGAGCTGAAAATAAGTACAGAGAGAGCTCCAATGGTAGCCATTGTTGGAGAACAATTAATAATTACTGATATGTCAATGAGAGAACAAATTTATTAAGAGGAAACATAGTTTATCTATAATTTATTAAGATATGAAATTATATTTGTGTTTACCAGCTTTGCACAATTGATGGTTTGTATTTTATTCTGATTTGAATGTTCAAAGTTATATATGATAATTCGTATATTTGTATTATATTTATTAGTATCAAACACATGTAAAACATAAAATTTATTATGTTATAAGTCATATTTAAACGCCTAAACAAAAATATATTTTTTAGTTTTTTTCAAATCTATTTGTGTCTTTTGTCAAAACTTTAATCCATGTCATTTATATATTTTTTTAGTGTTGTGTCCAAAATTATCAAATTTATTCAAAGTGAATAAAATTTATCACATAAATTTTTAAATCAACTTTTAAACAAAATATTTCCAGAAAAAGATAAAATAAAAATTTCAAATCGACTTTTAACAAAAATATTTCCAGAAAAAGATAAAATAAACCATATTCATATTAAGCATAATGAATTAAACAATATTACTTCAAGACATCAACCTTATGGATTGTCTTTGGTTTTGACTTTTTTGTGCAACTGTGACAGGCAGGGACTAAGAATTTTTGGATTAAATGAGGAACAAGTCATTTTTTCTTGTGTCCGAGACATCAACTTAATTTGAAGAATATGAATATGATAGTATATATTGAAAGTCTCGTGTAAATTGGGAGCAGTTAAGTTACACTAAAAAAGTTTTACATTTTTTTTTAATTTTAATTTTAATAAATTTAAAAGACGAGGGAGATAAATAAAAATTTTTTTAATCCAATCCCTTATATTTATTAAAATCAGTCTCTTATATTTATTAAAATCAATAATTAAAAAATATATAAATTAAATAATTTTACATTAGTATAAGTATATCGCTCTCCTTTTTAAATCACTTATAAAAATATATATAAAATAAAAATCACTTTGGTTGTAACAAGAAATAAAATAGAATATCAGTTTATTTCTACAAGAAGATTTTAATTGGAATTGTCGTTTGGCATGGTCAAAACAAATGTGAAATAAAAAAATCTGTAAGTTTCAAATAGGCTAAAACATTTAAAAACCCCGATAACTTTTTTTTTTTTTTAATTTTCAAATAAGCCGTTATTCTTTTGTGGGACCTAAATGAATCTTTAAGATATATTTTTGTTTAATTAAACCCTTATTTTGCAAAAAATCACTAAAATCCATTCCGAAAATAAGGGTTTACTTGAACTAAAATAGTACTTTAAAGGGTTAATTAGACCAAAAATAACATTTAACAGATTAATTAGACTGAGATAATAGTTAAAGTGTTTAATGTTTTGATTTTAGAAAAAAAAAAAAAAAAGCAACTTCCCATACCGTAACCTTTTTTTGCATGTTATGTTTCATTTTATAAATCATCTAAATTAAATCCATAAATAAATAGCTTATACCATAATAGCATGGTGAGGCTGCAGAGTTGATATGATCCAAAATATTGACTTCAATATATATATATATAAATGGAGCACTGACTATGACTTCTCCATCTTTAGCCACTAAATTATAATAAGAATATGAACAATTAATTCAAAGTTCAAAGTTCAAAGGACAGAGCAGAAAAATTGACTGTCAACAAATTTGAAGATCCTACTATGCAACTAAGCTAGCCTCCTCACTTTCAGGGACTATAATGTCAAGCCTCATCATGGGCTTATATCTGTTAGGGATTTGAGCTCCAGCTTGCATGCAAACTTCAACCACAGCTGGAGCCTTGCCATAAAATCTCTTTAATGCACCCCTCAAGGGAGGTCCCTTTGGATCTTGAACATGCCAAACATAATTTGGTGGGAAAACTTCAGCAACTGTGGCATCCTGCCAACCATGCTTCCCATCTCTCCATTGGTGCTTAAATGCTCCACAAAGTTTAGCACTGTGACCCCATGGCCCGACATGAACCTCTGAGCAATATCCACATGCCTTTACTGTGTATTTCCCCATCAACTTTGTCACTCCGGATCGAACAATCTCATGTGCATTCATTGTTTCCTGTGCAATGCTAGGTACATCTTCTATTCGAGGAGGTGGGAATCGCCCGGAAGCTCCACATGCGTCGAGATCAACAATTGAGGACAAGGATGGATCCACTGAGCACTGTGGCTTAGGCTCCTCAACATATCTACCTCGATCAATTACTTTCTTTCCCATCATTCTAATGGGCTGGGTTCTTCGTCTTGAAGGGTACTCTGGTATCTCTACACCAGCTTGGATGCATAGCTCCACAACTGCTGGAATCCTGTCGTGTTCAAACCGTGTGTCATGCTTGATGCGCCGGCCAAAAGGATCATAAAGGTGATATGACTCTATGGGAATAAGAATGTCATCAATGGAACCTTTGACCCACGAATGTAAACCATGTCGGTTTGAGCTAAATGGACCATTGCAGTCCTGAATATTGTGACCAGCATGAGCCACATGAACTTCAGAGCACTCACTGCAGAGAGCTAAAACAAATGAATATAGGAAGATGCAAGCATTACCTCAAAATAATTCACTGCAGAGCTCAAAATGACACAACAGCAATATCAGAATTGAAAACTATAATACGATGTACCTGCAACCATAAACAGGAATGACATGCAAAAGCTGTGCAAGGCCTTTGATCAAGACTTTCCATGCATCTAGCACCTCATATGCGACAGGAATAAGTTCAGGAACAAGTAATCCATTTTTTGGAGGCTGAAGTGGCTTCTCTATACCCCTCTCAACGAGTTTCTTATCCTTCCTTGCAGCTTTCTGGATCTCCTTAAAAGGAATGGGATAAGGTTTCTTCTTTTTCTTAGGTAGTATTGGTGGAAGATCCACATTTTGGGGATATGCCCCTGGCTTCTTGCCAGAAGGGTACTGTATAGGCCTCTGACAGGCATAAGGGAAAGTTCCTGAAACAAGTGGCCTACCTTTCTGAACCCATTTGTTATCAAACTGCAAGTAGCATATCAAAATGTGAGTTCATGAAACAACTATTACTCCAGAATACTGCCATCAATGACCAAAAAACAGAAAAAAAAACCATAGAAACAAAAAATAACTAAGAAAAAAATTTACCCTTTAAGCATCCCCAAGTATCCTTGCCTATCAACTATGGTTATTATTATTATCTATAGAATGCTTGTCTCATGTAACAGAACCAATTAGCCAGAAGATCATAAACAAGGAGGTGGAGAACCCCTATTGGATGTAGTGGACTAATTTGTATGCCACTAACTACTGAGGGATTTGAAAGTGTTCCTCCAAAATAAAAGAATGCACAAATAGTTTTCTACCAGCATATCAGTAAAATCACAAGAAAGAAATATGAATTGACAGAAAGAATGTCACCTTCAAATAAAGAGGACACAGACTCAGGGATGATAATGGAGACCTTGGAAATTCCATGATATCTAAACATGCACCTGCAAAGTGGAGGCCATATTAATACATAAATTTTCTTATTTTCCTTTTGCAAATGTTTTATGGTGTTTTATTTGCATTGATTTGGTTTAATTCAGTAATAGTAACGAAGTTAAGTTAGTTGCTTCATTTTGGAACCAAAAGGAAGCAAAAAGAAAAAAGCAATGAATAAATTAAAGAGAAAAATGAGTGACTCACCCCTCTGAGACGGATTCCTTAAAGATGATGCTGCTGGTACTGTCTTTAGCATTTACCTAGGGATAAAGGCAAACAAAAGAAATGGAAAAAATATGTCAAAACCAAAGGGACAAACATGATTTTTTCCACGAGGGAAATCAAAAATAAAAAAGCAAGAAGCCTAAAATAAATAATTTTGCAATGTGATTAATAACATGAAAATCATTTCAGCAAACATATCATTCGTTTGGGGAATAAAATAGGGCAAAGAAAGGAGGAAAGGGTAGCTTTGAATTTTTCCACTCCATCAAAATCTAATCCTTCCATATATGGAAAGAAAACAATCATTCAACCAAAGATATAATCAATGTATCTATGATTTACCCCCCAACTCCTTTCTTTCTTTCAGTTTTCCATCTCTTGGACCAAACTTAAGGACTGAACAGCAAATATGCTTCTTTTCCTTCCCTTTTCCCTTCCCTCAAATTTCCTTCCTTCCTACCAAACGTTATTCATTTACAGTCCTTACCTATCCAGAGTCATAGCTCAGTGACCATGAATGAAATTTACTCTACCTATCAATAACACTATGTTTAGTAGGAAGGAAGGAAACAATCATTTATTTCCTTCCCATTTCCTTCCTACCAAATGAAGGAAAAGATGGAAAGAAAGTATTTTTCCTTCCACCTACCAAACACAGCGTAAATGATTCCGGTGCAGTGATTTTACAATACATACAAGCCAAATCACCATATTAACAGCAAAGAGACAACACATTAATTCACATTATATCTCTCATTGTTTCCCCTTAAATGAACATTTAATTTTGTTTTTCAGTTTCTTCTCTCAAAATTCAATTTCATTAGAAGAAGGACAACAGTGACTATCTTACAAAACTACCAATCTACAAAAAAAAAAAAATCAAAGTGGAAAATTTACAATGAAAGTACCAACATTTCATTTATAAGAAATTCAATGGAAGCAAAAGACAATTCTGTATAAAACCAAAAAATAAAATCATTGATTCTATAGAAACCCAGATAGACAACTAACCAAAATATAAAACTATCTTATTAAACAAGAAGAACAAGACAAAAAAGAAAAGAACCCAAATTCGGGACAGTTAAGCTCAAAGTAAACATGAATTAAGAAAAAGAACTTACACAGAACCGGAGCGGCTTTTTCTTCTTCCTCCTCTTCCTTTTCCTTCCTATCTGTAAGGCTGTTATGAAAATATCAACAAAAAGATTAGCTCAAAGTTCTGGGTTTAAGGCTTCCTACAAAAACCCACGATCATTTTTCCTTTTCAAGCAACAATAGGATGAGTGGGATGCGAATTGGTCCTGCTTCGAACTTGGGCTTTGAATTGCACACTCAAGCTTATCCACTAGCTTGGACTCTTTTTTTTTTGTATAAATAATAGTATAATTATTAAATTTATTTCACGCTAAATTCAATTAAATATATATAAATAATTCGCGTAATATTTTAGCTTGCGCTTGAAAAAAATTGCTAGAACCTAATTTATGGGATTAAGCAAGGCACTTGATTTTATGGATGGTTTTTTTATATGAAAATTGTGTTAATTATTTTTTTATTTTTTAATAGGTATACTATGTATGAATTTTTCGGTCAAAATATATATACATATATATATATATATATATACGAATTTTGTGAGTAAATTTTTATCACTTAGACTCCGGTTGGCAAATACTTTAATTTTTTGTGTCCTTTTTTTTTTTTTGGCAAAAATCAAATGAGAAAAAATTAAAAATTAAAACCACAAATAAAATCATTTACCAAATGAAGTCTTAATAATCTTACAAAGTGATATAAAAAAAATATATCAAATAATTTTTTTTAATTGATATAGGATGTTCGTTCAATTTATTTATCACGATTATAAAAAATTTTGAATTTAAGTGTGGTAGTCATCATTAATGCTATAAAAAATGGGGTTAAAACTAAAATTATAATCCAAAATTCTTACATGGAAAATTTATTTCTTCTTTATGGCAATATTTCAGTATCTAGGTTTACATTGAAATGTTACAGGGGCACAAGATCTGAATAATGAATTAGCTGAATATCAAGATTCAGCATGGTTATTTCCCAAGTTTCATCTTCCAAAGCAAACCCTTTGGAGCTATGATCTTAACTGCTCTTAGTTTTATACCAAGAGATGGAATTTGACTGACAGACCTTTTTACCATAACCAATCCTAGGCCTCCCTCTAGGGATGATCATTGGTCCGCAAAACAGCGGGATTTCCACCCTCTGTAAGGAACCACATTATAGTGGTGCATATAAAAGGTATTCTCCTCCAACACAAAATCATCTTTTTCAGCTGAGGGCGATCGGATTCAAGAGCTAGAGATGCAGCATAAATTTCAGGGATACCAGCACCAGGTTGGAATTCTGCTCGTTGTTCGAATATCACTTTCAAGCCCGCCGTTGGCTCAAGTCCTTCAGTGAATTCATTAATTTTGATGTTCAGGACTTCGGATTCTGATTGGTGGCCAGTGATAAGAGGGATACTCTTGATAATGGTTTCAGCAAAACGGACAGTTAGGCTCTTAAACCGCGGCATACATGGATGCTTTGTGCTAGCAGTGACTTTGCCATTGGTAGACAGGAACTCAACCCTCACCTGCTAAGACAATAACTGATGTGGGCACAAACAAGAAACTATTCATGTTGAATTATATGAATTTGATCAAATGCAGGCCATCAGAGACCAATAAAAAGGATAATACTTCTTACCTGAAAGACTCGAAGTTTCCTGTTATATTCGAATTCGGGGACTGTCAATGAAACAGTGACCTGCAACTTATGATTATAGGGAATAACACGTTGACCAATCTCCTTCACAGAGTTCATATCATCTCTAGAAATGAGGCTGGATGGATCTCCAACAACAGGAGATGATGGCATTGGCACGGAAGCAACTGGACTAGGTTTAGTGTAATCGAAATTCAAGGTTTCTGTTGTTTGGATAGGTTTCTCCAGCAGGCACCGCATCATGAAACCCCCGAAAAGAAATCCTGACACTAGCAACCCCACAAGCATGAAACAAACATAGAATGACCAAAAGAAGGCAAAACCAAACCTCAGTGCCAATTTCCCTATTGAGTTATTTGCTTTCACTTTAACAGTTTTGCTTGCATCATTCCACATTCTGAATAGTTTTTTCATCAAATAACCTTTAATTTGTCTTATAGCTTGTAATGGAAATATGAAAGACATGAAAGCAAAGTATGAAAACCAAATTGGAAATGTGAAAAAACTAACTAGAAGATTAAACTGAAACCCGACAAATTTCATCGTAAGTACTGTAAGAAAAGCAAGAAAATTCTTGAGGAATTCAGCATAGCCCTCTAGAGAAGAATTTACCACAAGTGTGACATTGATATACTCATGCTTCCATGCATCCTTACAATTGACTTTCCCTAGTTTATCTTTGAAACTGCATTCCCCATTAACCTGACAAGTCTGTGAACTATCAATTCTATCACTTAGGCCATTTGCAACAAGATTGATTTTCCTTGCTGCATCCTTCAACACTGTATCAGTCCCATCTACCATAAATTTGACTAAACAACATTTTAACAATCAAATAAACCCTGAGAATTTGCACGATTTCGGTAATCAAATCCGAAATTTTCATCGCGATGCAGAAACAACTCTTGATCACCCTTGGCAACGCAATCACTTTGGTGAACTTCCTGTTCATCCATGGCAATGATTGGAGAAGATGAGACTTGGATTAAAAGGTCAACTGTATTATGGAAAAGCTAAACGGACTTGGGCACGATGGACCAACTGTAGTATGAATTTCTACAAGTAGAGAATGACGCAAGGTTACAACTGATTTCCCTGGGAAGCCAAAAAGCATGGATAGGTCCAATTTGTTGGTTAACTAAAAAATGGGAAAGCTTTGATCTCTTATTGGACGGTGGTGATTGGTTCATCTGAAAATAATACTACAAGTGAAGAGGGTCAGGATAAACTGCAGCACGACACACACTTCTAAGCTGGTCTTGCAATATTTTTTATATCTATTGTCTGCTTTCAAGCTGAACCAAGGGCTTGGAGATGGTGAATTCATCTAAATGCTACCAGCTGTCAACGGTGATTGGCCTGGCTATGTTCCGGCGCACAAACCAAGCATGCAGACCGTACTAGCCAACTTTCTCTGCTAAACCAGATTCTTAGAAATTTAATTGTTGATTGGTGGCTTGATCACATCACTTTAGCACGCTCTAACTCTCTTCCATTGTAGCTAGAAATTCGTTCTTTGCTCCGTTGCCTTATGGCAGACAAAATTTTCCTGATTTAGCATAATACTCGTACCCTCGTGCATATACATATCACAAATGCAAAATAATTTGTGGAGTACGAACTAGCATTAAATATTTCATTTCAGGAAGCACTCAAGACATTATTACTCAGGTATATGGTACATATAGGACTTAAAAAAAAAAAAATGAAAGGACAAAAGAAACGTAAACCAAAATTTGACCTGATACTTCGAAAACAACAATCAGGAAAAAATTGTAAAATAGAAAATTTGAAACAAAAGGAATAAAAGAGGATGAATCTCCAAACTTGGATGAGAGATTAATATAGTTAACAGTGTAGCATTCGTATATTCACACGTGGTATCATTTGTCAATGTGCACGAGAGAGGCTATATACAGTTAGTTAAACAATCAAAACTCAATAACGTTGTTTATCTGAACAGAGAAGGATGGACAGCCAACACTGGAAAGAGGTGTGTCAACTCTTAAAACTATCCCTGAGTTTCCAACATTTCCGTTCCACTTAGAGCGCCCATACTGCATGATGATAGACAGAAAAGGAGTATGAGCCAACCTCCAAAACTTGAGCAACGAAGAACTTCAATGAGGATGTAAGTGCAAACAAATGGGAAAAAGAAAGTGTAGGCACGGTGGAATAACACCATCATCATGAAGAAAAGTCGACAATAGGTTAAAAACTAAAATTCTAGAAGCTGACTAGCACTGAAATGTTGCAGAAATAGAAATCTAAGTTAGGAGTACACATAATCCCACTTTTCACAATTTTGCTCCAAAAACAGGTTCTACATATGAAATGAGCTTTGAAAGAAGATTTGCAATGTGATAACTTACTGATATTGATGCAAACGCTGAAGGATGTGCCACCAGAGCACAACCACAAATCAGATTAAGATCCTCCTTCACCGTGTGAATAACTTCTGCCCTCAACCCAGGCTTACTTCCACCAAAAGTTGGACACAAGCTGATCACAAATGTAGCAATTAACTAGTGAATACCATGCAGGATGCAAACCAAAAAACACAAACAATATAGATAAACAACAATCGAATAATAGCACGATGAAACATGTACATAAAGTGAAACATGGAAAAGAAAGGGTAAACAGGAAAAAAAAACATACAGGAAGAACAAACTCTATGCAAAAGCAATACAATACAACAAAGCAACAATAGTTTCTTGCTCTGGTGTGTGATCCTTCTAATTTCTATTTGCAGGAAAGGAAACCCAAAATCTTATATCACTAAGTTTTTTCCAATTCAGGAAATAACCTGCACTTATTATTTTTTTTTTCACAAACGAAACAAGTGAAATTCAAATATTTTAAGAGTATTTATTCTGAAGATCAAATACCAAACAAATTGAACTATAACTTATGAACCTTGAAAAGTAGTCATGTTGAAAACATAAGAAGAAGACATGCATGTCTATCCATAATCAGACATTTCTATAAACATTAACAAATTCAGCTCAATTGCAAAGGAACTCATGCAAATATAAGAAGGGTTAATGAAGCAATTCAAAGTTCAAAGGCAGTGTATGAAACTAAACAAGACATTCCTCAACATGACTTATAAGAAAAGGCAATGAGACATTCATTTACAAACTCTAAACCAATACAAATCAATGCAAATGAGGAGAATCTCACCTAAATTGAATGGATGGCTTCATCATTAGCCCAGACCGCTTCCAAGCCAAGGCTTGTGAAAGACCCAGCGAAAAAGATTTGTCTGGCAATTGCACCATTGGTGTGATACTTGTTCCCCACTTATTCTGATGAAATATCCAAACAATAGATTTCAGCACTCATAAAAAGAACCCCAAGATGGAAAGTGAGTAATTAAGCCAAAGTTGTTTGAAAAAAAAAAAAACTAATTTTTTGCATTTCATGCTAGTAGAGAGTTAAGACCTCAGAAACTGACCTTGCAAGAGAAGCTGTATTTCATTTCCCCTGGATATTGGCCCTGAGCCTGAAGAAGGCCCCCACAAACAGGTAGGAAAGCACTTGTTGTGAGCCCCTCACCAGATACATATGTGAATTGTCCATTTGGAAATTGCAAATCCACAAATGACTGCATGAAAGCAGGGAGAGTAAGCATGAGAAAGAAGAGGGTGGCTATGCAAGAAAATCACACCAAGAAGATAAAATTATCTTCAATATTTAGTGCCGACAGGAAATGAGTCCTGATGTTAGTCAGCACAGTCAACTACTTTCTATGAAGGTTGTTTTAGGAAGATAATAAGACTGAGTGCTTGATAAATAAATAAAAAAAAATTTAAGGTCTTAAGTGTGCAAAAATAGTAAAATAGATAAATTAAGTTGCTCCACCATTGTTTGTAAATTGTCATCTTCCAAACAAGACAGCTGGAAAAATCACTAAGGTGACTGCTCCTAACTAACTGAATGAATATTTACATGGAGAATATTCATTACACCAAATGCAGTTTAAAAACAACAATCTAAATTTCAATAAAACTAGGGGGAAAAAAACAGATATTTGGAAATTCAGATGCTGAAACAGAAGCATAAACACTGTATAAATGGAGTTAAATGCTACCAACTTACACAGGCTAAAGGATTAAGACAGAGCATTGACATTAATAGCCACCTTCTATGCTTTGACCATACAGCTGGACAAAGAGAATGCATTCCATTCTGCAGTCAAATAAATTATCATCAAAGAAGAACAAAGAAGAAAAGACAACAATTTGAGAAAGATCAAAACATAACCCTCAAGCCAAACTATTTGCTTTCAAGTTTCAATATATGCAGTACCATGTAAAATTATGGAAATGCGTCTTATTTGGCAAGAAAAAATTATGTACAGAAGTCACAAAATGACCTAAAACACTTAAAACTGGGAGAAATGAAAGAAAATAAACACTAACAGCATCTTTTCATCATAATGGAACTTAAACTAGGTCTTAAAAATTTTTATTCAAACTTAAGTAAGGCCCTAGATTAGTCCCAAATCAAAATAAAGCCCACAATTCCAGATTTTCTTGAAATTTTATCTCAATTTCTCTCAACATCTTTATATTCTAGATGGGAACTATTGTCTTCTATTACAATCATAAAAGAACCTCACTTATAGCAATTTGTAAAAGCTAAAGATGACAGTCTATCAGAGGATTCTAGGCTAGGTAAGGCACATGCAATTCTTGGACTTCCATATCACAAACAAAAATATGTTAATTTGCAAAAAACTTCCCACCATCAGTGAAGCATCAGCAGCTACCACTTGGGCTTAAAATTTAGTGACATAGAGAAAAATCAATAAATTAACTGACTTCAGAAAAACATCCATACTTGGAGACAGAGAAATTAAAGGCCTAAACTGGGGAGAGTAAACTGAATCACAATGAAATGTGTTTACTCTCTCATGTATTGACTATAACGTAGACCAAACATGTGCTATGACAGAGGCCAGAGATGATGCAGAGGAAGCTTATTGCAGATAGACAAAAGATAGGGAAAAGGAGATAGTTGAAATAATTTCATCCTATATGCTCTGATTCAATAGATATTCTTAATAAAAGACCAAAAGATGTATCACTGGACAATAATTCAGATAAACTTAATGGTATAACCACATTACACACAACTCTCAACAGTTTTGTTCCATAAGGCTTTGTGAGTTAAGTTTCATAGAACATAAATGCAATTCAGTACTCCTATTTCCTATATGTAAAGTTTTACAGCTAGCACCAATTATTCCCTAAAATTCTTATCATACCTTCCTATCATAACCATACCAAAGCAAATGTTGCTTTGATAGATGAACTGGTAAAAGAAGTGTCGTGTCTCGTACAAAGAGTACTGGTCCAAGCTGGATAAGAAATAAAGAGTTGTCATTCCCTGATGTAGAACTGGCATTTGACACCTCCACTCTCCATAGGTCTCCACTTGCAACCAAAGAACTTTCTAAATCTCGTGTTCTACTCTCATATGTTGAGGTAATATTTATAATTCCCTGCAGCCAACCAAAGATTAACCATAGGAAAACAAATCAATTAATGCACTTATGAAAAAGTAATAGTCATTAACAATACAAAGAGATAGGCAGTCAACCAATTCAAAACTGCTAATAAGTTTTGCATTCAATTCGAAAGGAACACAATATGAACAAACAACTAACCCGCTATCATCCTATAACTTCTATTCATATGAATGAAAAAAAAAAAAAAAGAAAGAAACAGGACATATTCATAACTTATAGTAACTAATATTAGGCCAAATAGATGCCTAAATCAGGCATTTACTATTACCTTAGAACTCGTAAAAGAACTATTGTAGATAGCGGCACGCTCCTTGCTAGTTGTTCCTACTTGTCTTAGAAATAATTAATGAAGGTGTGTGCACAACAAAAATTAGATGCATATTGTATTTCACTATCATCAGCAAAATATTAATAACTAGAAATCTATTATCAATTCTAAACCTTTCGGTTGCAAAGATAAATACCCAAGAACTTGTTAGCGTATGCATAGATTATGTAAAATAGACAACTCCTTTCCCCTTTCCAATTACTAAACTTGTCACTTGTGACAATTTACTACTCCAGGATTGAAATCACTTCGGCTATGATTTGTAATACAATATTACACATAAAACAGTAATTATTCAAAAATTTACCACAAACCAACTTCATAAATTCAGCCACCTAACTATCCTAAAAAATTTTCATTTTTTCTTATCTGTTTGTTTACCTGTGGTTGTGGTCTCCCAAGTAGTCCAGCAGATTTCAAATTAAACCCTGAAATCTCATCATCCCCCAATTCCTCTGAACCACTCTCATTATCCACGAATCCAAAATCCTTGGACCGATCTGAAAATCCTACCAAACCCTCCATATCATTACCACCCACCACAGCCTTCTGTCCTTTCACAGTCACATCACCTCTAACTGACACAACTGCACTATCCTCAGCACGAAACGGGACTGGTAACCTCCTGAAGAACTGCTGAACCAACCCATTTAAGCCCGCACCAAAATCTGCCCCGACTTGGCCAATCCTGTTCCCGATATCGCCTATTTCAAAAATAGCTGATTTGTCAATGGGAAGGCCAAAATCCTTGTTGATAAAGGTTTGGGATGGGAACTCGAGGTCAAAAAGCTTGGATTTTGGAGGGTTTGGCCATGGAAACGAAGGTGGGGTTATGTGGGATTGGATTAAACCAGTGAAACCTTGAGCTAGCCGATCGGCAAGGTCCTGGCCATGGCGTTGGACCTCTTCCCAGGCTTCAAATGACCTTTCTACAGACATTGAACTAGCCAATCTAAAAAGTCATAAGAAAACTAAAGTTGGGTTCTTTGAGGGCTAATTAATAGATTAGAAACTGACCCAGAAGCTTAAGAAGTTCAAAATCAATTTCCTTTTAAGAAAAAAGAGTGAAATATTTTAAGTTCAAAGCTTAAAGATATGCTGGCCTTTTAGGGTATTCAGATTTTCAACTATTCAATGGAAAATTCAAAGATTCATAGGAAAATCAAATTTCAAATCAGCCACAAGATTAAAACGTTCAAACTAAAATCTTTTTTACCAAATCAGCTTTACTATAGTTGAAATTTCAAGGTTGAAGCCTAAAAGAAAAAAAAAAAAGGCAGTGGATTGATTATTCAGGCTTCAACAATTCAGTTTATCTTGAAAGTTTTAAAAACTTCATTGAAAACTGTAAAATTTGTATCTTATAAGCTTCAAAAAAAGAAAAACAACAGTCTATTAGGGTTCTAAATTAGATGAAAAAAAAACCCAAAAAGGATTTTTTATAATATTTTGGAAATTAAGAGAGGATCTAAAGAATAAAGCAGAAGCAAGTGAAAAAGAGAGTGAAAAGAAGAGAAGAACAAGAAAAAAGTGGGATTTTTTTTTTTTTTTGGTTGTTGTTTTGGCTAAATTTGGAACAAGTTAAACCCTTTAAGCAGATAGGAAGAAAAGTCAGATATTTTTTTCTGAAGTTTGGGAAGTGTTTGAAACGGCGGGGGTGCGTATTACGCACATAGATTTGCTTTGCATCAATGTCGATGGACGTAAACTTGTGGCTATGGGGATAAAGCTTTTATATTTTTATTTTATTTTTTGAAAAATAAATTTATATTGCGTTTCGTGTGCGTGGGAAGGATACTTGGTCAATGACCAATGAAATCATAAGTTTTTTTTTTTTTTTTTTTCAAGTTTTTTTATTTGATCTTTTTCAAGGTTCTTAGACGTGACGAAAGTCCAAATTCGTCACATATTTCATATTATTTTATATTAAATATATAAAAGTAAATTTTTATCTTAAAAAATATTTTTTATTATATGATATGATTTCGCACACAAATAAATAAAACAAAGATTTAATATTCCAATATGTTTTTAATTTTTTTTATAAAATAAAGGTAAGTTATTAAACAATTGTATTACACAATTAACATTTTATATGTAAAATAATGTCCATGTAAAATATAAATTTAATTTTAATTAAAAATAAAAAAATTTAAAATTAATTCAAAATTATAATATTAGATTCAATTCAAATTCGATTTTTTTATTTGATTTAAATTAAATTTAAATATTTAATATATATTAAATTTAAATCAAGATATAAAACAAAAAAATTGAATTAAATTATATATTTTTATTAATTTATACATTTTAAAATTTATAAAATAAAAATAATTATTTTATATATAAATTTATTTACATATATTAAAATTTTATTAAAATAATATAAAAATAAATTTAAAAATTTAAAAATCAATAAATTAAATCGAAGTGAATCGAAAGAATTTGATTCGGTTTAAAAAAAAATGTATTCAATATCTGATTAAATTTAAAAAATTTATAATATTTATATTATTTAAAAAAATAATTAAATTTAATTCGATTGTTATCATTTTTAATTTTAATGTTACACAAATGTTGGGTCAGTCTTGGGCCAAAAGTTTTGGTCCGATAAAATTTTCAAGTTGAGCCTCAATCAGGTCTTCAAGGCCGAGACCAAAACTTTCGAACTTTCTTTTCTGCCACCTTCACAAGAAAAATTTCAGATTCTCTCAGAAAAACAAAAAAAAAAAAAAGAAAAAAAGCCCCATCTTTTGCATACAAAATTGGGCCTCCATTTCGCTTTCAGTGGATGATTAGAACAAAGTAACATTAGCTTTAAAGTTTAAACGATTCCTTTCTATGTAAACGCATATCTCCTTCTGCTTATCATTATTTTCAGCTCAAGAAAGCTTTTCTCCATTAATCACCCCTGAAGTTTATTTTATTCAGGTAATAATAAATTCTCTCTTCTTCTTTTTTTTTTTTTTTTTTTTTCTGTTTATTGGGTTTTGTTTTAATTCACTTTTTAGTGAGTCGATTTGTTTTGTTTTGTTTTTTTTTACTTGTCTTCTTTAGCTTTGTTCTGATTTTTATTGATCTTATCTTATAATGTGAGAGATACCCATCTTGTAGTGCGGCTTCAATTTTATGAATTCACTGTGTACATTTATTTAATTGTTCAAGAAAAATCTATGGCAGTTTTTGATCTTCAAGATAGGAAATTAAAAATTTAATGCTTCTGTGCAGCAGGTTACAGTTTGAGTTCAAAATATTTGCTTTTTTTTTTTAATCAAATAGATTGAATTGCCTGACTTTACAATTTGTAATACATATTTTTATTTTTTGTTTCAATAATCTAACTGAAATTTACGCCACATTTTAGATAAGTTAATCCAGATAATTTCGGACTTGAAAAAAATGACAAACTGATTTCACTTTGATCAAGTCAGTTACTTTATTTTTCTTCTGGTTTTGGTGTGCTTAAAAACATTGCTTTTTAGTTCTATTGAAGCATTGGAGCATCTTTGCTTGCTTTAGGAACAGGCTGCTTCCCTTACTTTGCTACTTGACTCACCATACTCAAATAGGCTATTCTGTCAAATTCATTTTTGTTGATTTCTGCCACTGCCTTTAAACAGAATAAGGCTTAAAGGTAGATATAGAAGTATGGGCAGTCCCGCGGAGCCAAAGAGAAGAGTGGCATTTGTACTGATTGACGGATTGGGGGATGTATCGATACCAAGTTTTGGGAATAAGACGCCCTTGCAGGCTGGCAATGTTCCAAACTTGGATGCCATAGCATCAGCCGGAGTTAATGGCCTCATGGACCCTGTGGAAGTAGGTTTGGGTTGTGGGAGTGACACGGCTCATCTTTCGTTGTTGGGCTATGACCCGAGAGTATATTACCGAGGGCGAGGTGCATTTGAATCCATGGGGGCTGGGTTGGCAATGTCACCTGGAGATATTGCATTCAAGGTGTGTAACCTGATTTAGCTCTCCTTTTTTCCTTCTTTTTCCCTTCATTTTTCACGTGTTCTTCTTGGTACATTATTTGCTGATACTATTTCTGTAATTGGACCATTTATTAAGCGTGCCTTATGTTGATAAATATCTTGATACTATCCAAATATAGATAATTTGATTTCTGAGTCGAGAATTTCAACATGTTAGCTTTAAGTTTAATGTGGACATTAGTTTTCATACGAATGAAGCAATTTTTGGTCATAAGTCGTATTTTATTTTCAGATTTAATATAATACATTGATTAATAATTATTGCCTGAGATGATTCTATATGATTAACTTGCAGTTCCTTTTTCCTTACCAGATATGTCTAGGTTCTGGCTTAATCACTTATATGAAAGGGATGATAGTCTTAAAGATTTTCCTTATTCTTTTTTCCAACAAGTTAATATGTTATAGTTCCATTTATTTCTTCACAACACCTTGATGTTTTTTCTTGTACATGATTACCCATTCCAATTATATCTTTCCAGTCAAATTTTGCTACCTTGGATGAGAAAACCGGCATAGTTTTAAGTAGGAGAGCTGATAGGCATTTTGAAGAAGAGGGGCCTATCCTTTGTGCTGCCCTGGATGGAATGAAGATCCCATCTTTTCCTGAGTATGAAGTAAGAGTCAGGTACTGATGTCTTTAATTGCTGTAATTGTCAGTTTATGAAGTTATATTCTTGCTCTTGGTTCTGCAGGATAAAAAAATTTTAGCTTACTCAATTGGGTTTTATTTTAACTTGGCCATTTTGGTTATGGACTTTACATTGATTGACTACTTTGAACCTTGAAATGTCTTAGCAGAAATGCTTATAGAGGTTAGGCTAGGTGGTTATGAGAAGGTTTTGTTCTCTGTGAACTCTGTTAAGGATTGATTGGAAGCTTTAAGCTTATATTGTAAAATATGTGATGCTAAGTCATGCACTCAATCTGTAACAGGTATGCAACAGAACACCGATGTGGAGTTGTTGTTAAAGGACCAAGACTGAGTGGAAATATATCGGGAACTGACCCATTGAAGGACAATCGTTTGCTTCTGGAAGCCAAGGCTTTAGATGATACTGATGAAGCAAGACACACAGCTGCTGTTGTTAATGAGTTATCCAGGGAGATATCAAAGATTCTGGTTTCTCACCCTTTGAATGCAAAAAGGTTAGCAGAAGGGAAGAACATTGCTAATGTTGTCCTTTTAAGAGGCTGTGGTATCCGAATTGAGGTGTGTTGTCCAAAAACGTCCAAATGTATATTCATTTTACTTCTTTAAATATGGAGAAAAAAATGTTTGCATATTTCATTTTGCTAATTGGTGCTATGTTACTCGGACTTCTGGGTGAGTGTTGGATATAGGTATGCGTCCGATACCAGTATGCTCAATTTTTTCTAAGTTTTTCCATATATTTGGAGGATACCCCCATACCCATTTCGGAATATGTGTCCGAGATGGGTACTTCAGGGAAAATGAAGAGTCAGAGTAACATAGACTTGGTGTACTTCTTGCTCTACTATAAAAAGATACCAATAAATGGTTCTATCTCTTCTAATTATGTATTATAGGTTCCTCATTTTGAGAGGAAACATGGCTTGTGGCCTTGCATGGTGGCTCCCACAAAAATTATTGCTGGATTGGGCCTATCACTTGATATTGATATCCTAGAAGCTCCTGGAGCAACGGGAGACTATCGAACACTTCTGACTTCAAAAGCAACTGCCATAGCTAAGGCACTCTCTGCTCCTTTAAAGACTTGTCCGAGTGTCTTTGTACCAGGGGAGGATGAACACAAGCCTGGCAGATCAGATGGTTATGATTTTGGATTTCTCCACATTAAGGTAATGACCTTATGAATCTATCATTTTTTTGCCTTTTTTAGTGTTTTTTATATTTAGCAGGTACTTGTAAGTAGCTGCTTCCAAAGTGGCACGCTATCGGAGTATGATCAATGGTGAAAATCATTTGACTTTCTGGATATTCCATCATGCATAATGATTTATTTCTTTCATTTTGTTTTTATATTTGTCTTCTGTCCTTGTTATGGACATAAGCAAGGTCTGATGGTTATGAGCTCTGAAATCAATGTATAATGTTCTCCTTGTCATTTAAGTAAAAGGATAGTCCCAAATGTATAATATATAATTTCATTGATATTCCAAAATTGCAGGCAATAGATGATGCAGGGCATGATAAGGCAAGTGTTTTCAAAGTAAAAGGATTAGAAGCTGTAGATCGAGCAATAGGACAGCTGGCTAAGCTCTTGTGGCAAGCAGAATCAACTGGGAATTTCCAATATTTTATTTGTGTTACTGGTGACCACTCTACACCTGTTGAATATGGAGATCACAGTTTTGAACCGGTTCCATTTACAATGTGCCAGTTGAAAGATTTTGTGGGTGCAATTGGTGGGGAGTCTATTGTTTTGGAAACTTCACTTGATCCGTTTCCTCTTCCAACTGTTAAGGCGTGTGAAGACCTAAATGAAGACATTGGTTTAGGAAAAGGGAGAAAATGCAACCAAGATCAAGCATTTTGCGGTGATTCAGTTTTTGAGTTTAATGAGATTGCAGCAGCGAGGGGATGTCTTGGGCGGTTTCCAGGTGGAGAGATGATGGGAATTATTAAGAGATTTCTTAAATTAAATGCTTAACTTTCGTGGTCAGATGTTAAGAGATTCCTGGATAACCGCTCAGTTTCTGAATAAGGTGTTTCTGATCTGACAAATAAGCATGACAGTATGCCCTTGAATCATCAATGATTTTGAATGCTTCTTCTGCATTCCGATATAATCTGAGTCATGTGCTTGACTGGAGGCTAATTTGCTGCCACCAGAACGACAGTGATTGCCCTATTTAGTAAAAACAATAACCTGAGTGAGGGTGTAACATTCAATTTATTGTTGCACATCACAGCTGAACCATGTAGATTATTGTTTTCCAGGGAAAAAAAAATGTACTTTCAATCCTTTCTTAACCTTTAATTGAAATTTCATTTTTGTTCATAACTTTCTCTATGTCCCGTTATTCCTAACCATGTTAGTACTTGTGTGGATGACATATCAGCTGCCTTCTAGGTGCTTTATCTGTCTCTGCTTGCTGCTTTCCTTTTGATTTTCCCATCTTTTTCTCCTCTCTAACGGGGTGTCCTCTCCCCTGGAGGAAAACCTTTACCAAGATTTTCCAAGGGAAAATGCTCGTAGAGAGATATTTTTATTTTGCACAAAGAGGAGGAATAGATAATGAATCCAGGGGTGTTACTAACAGCCTACCAGCCTGAGGTTCTGCTATGCCATATGGACCTCCAAAATTACTTTATGGAGGCTCATGCTCGGAGACAGACAGCCAATATAGGCATCGGATAGAGGTAGAAACCTGGTTTACAGATGGGCATGGGAGATTGCTTTGCAAGCAAGTCATTCATCATTCTTAGAGATAGCAGCTAGTCATGACTCTTGAGACAATTTTCTTTACCCTAACAATTTATTCCTATACTATAATGTACTTGGCAAAGTTTATCTTAGTCGGTGTCTGCTGAAGCAGAGTGCTATTATCCACTGACCTCCGCATTAGACTTCACATTTGATTTGATTTTGAATCAAGGTTATATCTTTATTTCCATTTTTTGTGATCAAACATGTTCGATTAGTGTTTCTCTTTGTTGCATGATGATCCAAATAGCCCAGATGAAAACCATTTGTATCATCTAGATTCAAGGTAGAAACCCCAAATCAGGTTCCAAAGAGTATTGAAGAATATTCAAGTTGCATAACTGTGGATCCATCAGAATTTCTCAATTCTTCCATGTCTCTATTTTCTTTTAGAAAAAGTTTGTCATGTAAACAAATCATATGATAAAAGCAGATAATAAAGCAAGCATTATTTTGCTTTTTCTTTCTCTGGCCATTAAATTTTGCATTGACATTGCTTGTCTTTTTGGTAGGATACATTAGCAAAAGCAAGTGCGCATAAAAGAGTAGATAACAAATCAAGTTTAAAGCAAATGTGGCTTTGCCTTCTCTTCAACACTTAGTTTATCTTTGCTTATTTAAAGTTGGGGTCACCATTTTTCAAATTGTCTTGCTGCTTTTTCATTTGCTCCAAGGCCCATGTGCTCCTTGTTTTGCAATTCAATCAAATAATTCAATTTTCTACTACCAAACCAACTTTTCTAGCTTAATCAATAAGGAAACAATCATAAAAAAATGACCCCTCTGGCATTCACCCCACCTCAAAAACATAAGGAGAGAAAGTGTTAAGTGCAGTAATGTATGTGACAAGGCCTCTTTCTTTGTACAGGAAGTCTCCTAGTGCTCTTGAAGAAGAGCCAACAGCAGAAGGTCCTTATTCAGGTTATCTTGTGATTACAGATGAAGATGCAGAAGAACAAGACACCTTTTGTTTTGGGGCATGTAAGAGGAAGGGTGTTGAAAAGCTACCTTTTCCTCAAGACAAGATGTTGAATGTTGTTCATTCATCAGAGGTTGAAGAGAATATGGTCACTAGGGTCTGGTTTATCCCAGTTCTTGATCAGCCTCTATCTTCCAATCGATACTATGTTATTCGAGCAAGAGGCAGATACAAAGGGTATGCTCCCCTTTCTTACAGAGCTATACTAATCAACAATCTAAGTTCAAATGGATAATTTTTCACTTCTTTTTTTCCATTTTTTGAACTTTTCATGACAGGTAACTGATATATATGAACTTTGGATCATTCAAGAAATTTGTACTTGAAACTATATTGCCTGAGTTGGGAATCAAATTTTGGACATGCTATCTATTTATGTCTTGTACTAGTTTGATCAATTTTCACCCAAACTTCATATTTATTGAGATTGATGTGCTATTTTTTGTACCTTAACTTCAATAACTATTGTGTTTGGTTTATGTTCAGTACTTAAGTTCAAAATTTGAGCCACTTCTATTGTATTTGGCTTCTAAGAGTTCTGTTTATGTTGTAAACTTGCAGGCTAGCATGTACAAGTTCAAGGGAGATAGACACCAAATTATGTTGCTTCTTCAGTGATGTCAAACCAAAACCGTTTGATCACAGAAATGTATATCAACAGTTCAAGCTCCATCGCCACCACAGGCATAGTTTTTTCGCTAAATCCATTGCTACTGATTCAATTCCACCAAAATTTTTAAGGAAAAATGGATGGGAACTTCGTATCTCTCGGTCATATAGATTGCAACTAAATGAGGCTCTTGGCCTTGATTCATCTCTCCGAGGACGCCTTCCAAGTCTCAATTTCCCTATGTATAACAAGAAGTCACCTTCCGTTATTGTAGGACAATGGTACTGTCCCTTTATATTTGTGAGGGAGCAGACCAGACTAAGGCGGCAAATGAAGAAATCATTGTTCTATAAGATGACACTTGAGCAATGGTGGCAACAGATTCATTCATGTGACAATGAGAATAATGAACAAATTATTGTGAGTGTTAGTAAAATTGTGCAAAGAGAATTTAATTCAGTCTACGGTATGCTAGGTGAGAAGGATAATGGAATTAGCCATGGAGGGTTTTGGTGGTTCAGAACTCTAACAAGACATGATGGGAGAGGGGGAAGTATTGGTTTGAGTTTAGCAATTATGGAGAAAATGAAATGGTTACAAGAGGAGGGCGGTTGGTTTAATGGAGAAGAAAGTGAAGTGAGGGTTGAAAGGGAAGAAGAAATTAGAAGTGAATTTGGGTGGAGGAGATTTGCTTGCTTCATGTTGGTGGAGAGCTTTAACTTGAGAAGAATGGATGGAACTTTGGTGCTAAGGTGTGACTTTAGGCACACTCGCAAGATTCAATCCAAATGGGAATAATGAAGTCTTATGATCATGTAAATTTTGTTAAATTTGATAAATTAATGAAGCTGAAAAGTACAGTTTTTTTTGTCTGATCTCTTCATTTTCATTCTGGTGATTCAAATGCCATCTCTTTTAAGAAATTAAAACATGAGATAATGCATCAGGGCTACTTACCTGATATTTTGTCATCCAATAATGAAAGAAAACTTCCCTTTTTCTGGTTTTTGAACTCGCTCATGCTCACCAATCAACAGTAAACATGCATCAGTAGTCAGTACAGCTCCATTACTTGACACTGTTTGTCGATGTTCTAACTAGACTCAGATCAATTATAGCACTCCGGCTGCCCCATTTGGGATCCCATTGAAGAGGCTTGTGGAGATGCAGCCTGGAAAGGCTTGAAAACCTGGAAATGAACCAACACTGGAGTCAACCCATGGCTAGGCATTGACTGTAAGTTTTATTTCAGGAGTGGCAATGATGGGGAATGGGAAAACAACATCACTGAAAAGATGAAAGAAATTTACAGCAATGAAGTTTAAGGGTTCTGGTCTGGATTTTGGACATTAATTGAGATTGTAATTGAAATGAAACTAGCTACCAGGTTCTTTATGACATCACTGAAAACACATATGCTACTGAGATGCCTCGTACATAATTCAGAATATGTTAGAATGGTGTGGTAAACTTTTTGGTCAAAATTTCATCTAAACCGCTATATTTTTTTTGTGTTCAATTAAACCCTCAAAAGTTATTATTTTGTTTCATTTAAGCTGAATTTGAATGGAAAATGTTAAAGTTGCTAACAGTTCTTTTATTTGCTTATATTAGATTCCACCTGAATTAGATCAGATCGTGTGGCGAATGAATCTAAAAAAGATGATATGGAAATTAATATTTTTATAATTTAAAAATCAAATAAAAACATAAAAAATTCAAATGCCAAAAGAAAATGAAAATGAAAATCTTGTTCCACATGAACGTGGTATGATTTTCTAAATAAAATCTTTTCTTCTGTTTTTCCAGCCATGCGCATGAGCTTCATCTTAGATGTTCGTTCATATTTTCTTTCTGTCAAGCTCAATTACCCATCCCCTAAATCCCCGTCGATCGCCCATTGTCAAGGCCATTGATGATCATGTTCCCCTCTTTCTTTCTCTCTCCTCTGACTCTTGTCTCGCTCATCATATTCATTGTCTGATCTGATGGCGGCACGCATCTCTCGGGCCCTGGAACCAGATCGATGATTATCGTTGCCAGATTTGCGATCCCGTCTGCACTCTCACTTCCCATTTCTCTTTCTCTTTCTCTTTCTCTTTCCAGATTTATTCTCTCTCTTCGATTATGTTTATTGGTTTTTCTCATTCTCTCTGTCTTTGATTCTGTTTTTTGGGTTTTTTTTTTCTCTTTTAACTTGTTCTTTGTTTTAGACATTAACACTGCGTTTAATAGGAGACAAAGGGGAAGGACATTGAATCCTCTCATTGTAGTTTGGTCTCTTTTTATTATTTCTTGTTTAAATTATTCATCCTTTATTTTACATAAAGATTAGGTTACTATTAAATTTGGGTATATACATGAATTTACTAATTTGAATTGTGAAGAAAATTTCATGAGCTGTTGTTGTGTGTTTTCTTTCTTTCTTTATTTTTCTTTTTCGTTGTTCTGACTTCATTTTTGCGATGTGATTGTTTGAAATTGACAGTAATTTATTGACATTAGAGCATTAGATTTGAATAGTGAATGCAATTTTTTTTTGAGTTTTTCTTTAATGGTTTATTACAGTGGGAGGTTTCACTGGACTGAACAAGCATAGAAGGAATTGTTTTGAATTTTCATACACTTTACCAGAAAGTTCATGGTTTATGACCGTGTCATAGTGGCACTTTATAAACTCCTGCATTACTACCATGGCAAATGGTCCATGGCCAATGAATGAAGCTTTTGAGAGCTTTTGCAGAGGGGTTCATGACTTTTGGCCATTCCATGATCATGTTTTAAGTTATTGGAAAGAGAGTTTAAAAAGCCCTCGGAAGATACTTTCCTTGAGATTTGAAGACATGACGAACGATCCAAAGGGGCAATTGAGGAAGCTGGCTTATTTCCTTGGAAGGCATTTTGCCAAGGAGGAAGAGGTAGACAAAGTGTTGTGCAGATGTAGCCTGGAAAGGCTTAAAGACCTGGAGGTGAACCAACACGGAGTCGACCCTTGGGTAAACATTGACTATGTTTTATTTCAGGCGTGGCATTGTTGGGGATTGGGAAAACAACTTCACTGACGAGATGAAAGAAAGGTTAGACCGAGTTACAGCAATGAAATTTGAGGGTTCCGGTCTAGATTTTGGACATTAATTAAGATTCTGGTTGAATTGAACCTACATCTACCAGGTTCTTTATGAATCTCTAAGATGTCATTTGCTTTATGTATTTGTCCAATTAATTGGGTGGCCTCATCTATAAGAACTGGAAGTTTAACAGGTTGTTAAACTTCCTATTACAAGTCTTGTGTGAGAGACTCTGAGCTTTCCCCTTGAATAAGCATTTCTCTTATCAATAAAAAATAACATTTCTCAAAAATACTCTCTTCCTGTTTTTAGTTTAGGATCAAATTCTGTCTTACTTTAGAATAACTAAACATTATATATATATTGTAATACCTAGGATTAACTGTAATTTCTTATAGTCATTGTAACTTATTGATTTTATATAATTGTGTATGTGAGGGTCAAGGTTTCATGATAGCTCTCATGGGACCGATTTGGTACAAGAGATCAAAACTCAAAATTATATATCCATTGTTGCAACCAATCTCCATGCAAATGCTTTAATACCAATTTTTAATGTCCTTAACCTATGCATCAATCATCCAACAAACAATCTTTTGTTCATATTTATATCAAAATGTAGGTGAGATATGGGTATCACATAGTAGCATTTTAATTACCTTTTTGTGATATTCATTGAGCATGATTTATATATTTTCTTAAATTTTGTTGAGCAATTAAAAATTCTTTGAAGTCTTATTGAATTTATGTCTCTTAGTCTTGCCTTGGGATCCTTATATGTTTGAAAGGTATTAGCTTATTTTGTTTTCAATTCTGAGAATTCTTTTAGATTTAATGGATCTGTAAAAGTAGATTATTTTGGTTCAGAAATGTGAATTATGGTGGTTTGTTTGGGATGTTATGTTAAAAGGGCTGATTTTAAGGCTATGTTTGGTAAGAAGGAAAAAAAAAGGTGAGAAGGGAAAAAATAAAGGAAAGAAAGAAATTTGTTTTTCTTTGTTGGTAGAAGAGACTGAAAATGATTCCCCAAAAAAGTTAAAAAAGAGATTGAAAGTGAAAGGAAGAAAATAATTTAGGATAAAATCGTACATAAAATTATTAATTTTAGCTGAACGTGCATTTTCGTTTCTTGCTTATGGATGAATTGGATTTTTAGGGAATGGAAAGACGTGAATCTACTCATTTCTCATTACTTGTTCCTATTTCCTTTCTAGCAAATAAGCAAAGATGGTTTGTTATTTTTTTTTTTTCATTTCTGAGTGCTAGTTAAGGTGCTTGCCATTGATAGAAATATTTTTTGTATTTGATGCGTCATTTCTCCTAGAATTTGGTGAGAACGATAAAAATACATATCTCAAGTTAGCACCTTAGATCAGCTCCCATAAGCGGTTGACTGGTTGCTAATAGAATCCTTCGAATTTTCTTCAGTGGGGGTAGTTGCTTACTGCAGTGCTGGATAAAATTTGAAGTTAATTGTCAGAAATGTTTAAAATTAGATGGTGTTGGAGTCATACTTGTAGCTTTTGATTTTCTTTACAGTGAAGAAGAAATGGAATCTTTGTTGCTGGAGATCCCTGATGTTGCTAAGGGGGATGCCTTGACTAAGAAGTGCAAAATATTTTCTGAAAAATCAAATGTACATGATGAGGTTGGAAATAAAATAAGTGATGTTGGCTATGGAGGTTCTGGCTCATCATGTTGGTTCCAATCTGCATTGTTGGATGAGGTAATTACATAAGCTTCTCTTTCTCATTGCCTTCTCTCCATTTTCCTGCTTTCTTTCTGTTTAGTACACACCAGAGACAAACTCTTTGTCCAGATACATAATTAAAGTTCCTTTCAGTTAGACAACCAAAAAAAACTTTGGTGGATGATGTAGCATTTTTGATATGGATGATTATTTCATTTTCATGAATACATAATTAGCTGTTCGTTATAGTAAATCTTTTGATATACTGACTTGTAATATATTAGGACACCAATTTACAGCAAAGGTGGAATCAATATAGGGAAAGGACCACATGATTTTTCTTGTTGGTGTAAACTAGCATGTCAATCAATATAATTTTTGTATACTGCTTGTAAGATTGTTATCGGCCTGTGGATTAATTGCTTATCTAATTTGAAAGTGTTCTTATACTAATTATGCTGCATGTAGACTTCAAGGAGAAAGACTCCATTTTGTCCTTGGTGCTAGGCAAGTTTCATGAGCATCGCTAAAGTGGAGGATGCAGCCATCTGTAATAAAAAATTTTCTCCCAAACCATTCCTTGTGCCACGTCAACTGTGGGTGTTTCTGTTCTTTCTGATCAAGAAAGACCTGGTTTTGGTGCTCAGGTAGCAATTATCCTATGCTAGAAAATATCATATAGGCTTTAATTCCTGGTCATTGCTTCTATATTTTTTGTGGCGTTAACTAATGATGCCATGCTTTGCAATGATGGTTTTGCATAGCGTTTTAAAATTAGAAATAGGCCACTTAAGTTGCCATGGTGGTTGAGGGTTTGGGGAGAATGCCCTTTTTCTCTGGATAGATGGTTATAAATCCCAGATTTTCATACTTAATGCTCTCCTCTTGTATCTAGAGAAAAAGTGAAATTAGGGATTGGCAGGTATTATTATTCTGTTCTCCTTAACATGTTGCTGTTAATGTGCATAAGAGAAGAATTTAATAGAGTACCACATGTACGTATTTGATGAGAATTTGATGGGAAAAAAGGAAATGGGATAGAGGTTTAGAAATGATAGATGGAGCAAACACAGTGATGACTTGTGAATGTGCACATGCGTACACTGTCATACATAAGTAGGTATCATTAAGTGTATGCCAGTTAACAAGAGTTGGTGCCATTTCGTTTTTTTTCAAGAGATGTTCAACGAATGTTAAATTGGTGTTCATGCTATCCAAACAAGGCTTCTCCTTGAGAAGCACCTTTATCCTGTCTATTGAAAACTGTCTGTACTCTGCACTGCCAAGGGATGTGAAAAGTAGATCATTATCTCCCAATAATGAACCAAGCAAAGCTAGTATTTGCAGTAATGAACTCCCTGCTACTTCTACTTTACATTTCATCCATTTTTATAGCTGGTTGCTTAGTCTTGCTGGCACTAACTACTTAGCACTATTATGGTGCTTTATGGTTGATCTTGCTAAACTGTTTGTGCTCTTTTGGTGTCTTTTTAATAGTCCTCATCAGCTTCGGTTTGCGTCAAGTGCCATTCTCAAGAACCTGAGAATCTTCCTGTCATTTTTGCGAGGTACAATATATAAAAAGATACTAGTTGATCCTCCTTTATTAGCATGTATCTGCATTCATTGCAAGGATATGGAGAAGCTCAACCCTTATGCTGTCTACTATCGACGGTGGCATTTTTTAACCTTAATTGTCTCTAGCATGATGTTGTACCTTTTGTATTCAACTATCCTTGGTGATATGCTAGCTGTTTTGGAATGAAAGGTTCTTGTGCACATCTAGAGCTGTTCATGTCTGATTACATTATTAAATTAACATTATTTATTATACTAATGAAATTTAAAGTGGAATACTAATCAAATTTCAGCAAAGATAAAATTAAAACTTCATTGAATTTGTATTAGTTACATAATATTACAACACCAAAAAAAAAAAGTTTAGCATTTCAGTGGGAGCAATTGCCTGCATTGCCCCATTGTAAATCCATCCCTGCAGTTAAAACCGAGGCTGGGTTTCATGCTTTCATCATCATCATCAGGCAACAGAGATGCTTGTGCTTTCAAATCCTTGATATCAAAATTCCAGGCACTAACTCCTCTTTGGTACTCACTCTGTGATTTAGCTTCTTCTGCTGAACGCATTTCCTTTGAAGGTAGTTGTGCAGAATCATTATTCTGAAGGGCTCTCACAGGATTCAATGGTGGTCCCAGATCAGCTAACATCTTCTTCAAAGAAACCTCAGGAGGCTTTGCATGTTTGAAAAACGAGTGCTTCAACAATTTCTCTGCAGTTGGCCTCTTCCTTGGGTCTTTCACCAGGCACATGGCAACCATGTCTTTAAAAGACTTGGAGAACTTCTTATCACAATCATAATCAAGTCGTGGAGGAGCATTTTGTACCGTCATCAGAAGAACTTTCATTGGTGGATATTTGGACAAGGGTGCATGACCGTGAGCTAATTCCAACGCTGTTATCCCAAATGACCATATATCTGCCTTGGAGTCATACCCAGTCCCTTGCTGCAAGACTTCAGGTGCCATCCAGCAAGGAGTCCCAGTAACAGTATTTCGACAACGTTGTCTGTCTCCTGAGTCAAACATGCAAGCTGAGACACCAAAGTCGGAAAGTTTTACTTTGCCGTTTTCATCAAGCAATATGTTCCCAGCCTTGACATCCCGGTGAATGTATCCTTGTCGATGCAGATACTCCAAAGCCTTCAGAGTTTCTTTCAGGATATAACAGATAGCGGGTTCTTGGAATCCATTTGGACAAACTTCTTTTATGCAGTGCAAACAGGATCCCTTTGATAGGAAAGGCATGACCAGCCAGAGATTGTTATCAACTACGAACGAAGAATGTGCACGAACAAGATTTGGATGATCCATCCAAATCATTGTTTGGGTTTCACGGCGTATACCATCCAGATTATTGCAGCGATCAAGATCGAGACATTTGATCGCTACGATTTTGTTTAAAGGAAGGTAGATAGCTCTGTAGACAATAGCAGTGGCGCCATGGCCAATTTCTTCTAAAATCTTGTAATCATTAGGATTCGTTCCCATTCTCCCCATTACTGATGAATATGTTGTGAATTTAGATGTCAATTTCAATGCCATAAAAATGACCAAGAAAATCTATATGATTCCCTACTATTTTCAGTCTCCTTTGAATTGTTAGAACCCTAACCGTAAGCCTTTTTATTTTTTTAAACTTATGATTTACTTAAAAAGCAAATGATAATTATAAGCCATTTGGCAAAGCAGCAAATTCCAGGAAGGAGACAGATGGCGTATTCAAAGAAGGGGACAGAGTCTGAATTTTAGTACTACAAGAAATCGGCACCGGCTACGACGTGGTCCTAATTCTTTTCTTATTTTAAAAATATATTTTTTAATGTTTTTTTTTTTTTCAAATAGTTAGTGTCTTGTTTGATGGTATTAATATTATTTAAAAGTTTGAGTTTGAATGTTTTCATTTAAAATATAATAATCAATATATTATTTGAAATTTTTTTAAAAATTTCATTATTAGAAGAGTTTCAAACAATTGTTATGTCGTGTTCTTTATTATTAAAATTGTTACATTCATCTAACAAATTAATTAATTTTTATTTTAATTATTCTAACAAATTAAATAATTTTTAATTTTAATTAATACAAAAATAAAATTATAATAATAAATTAAAAATTATACCTCACAATATATATAAAAAAGGAATTAAACCAACACGGAATGGACCCTCGGCTGGTCATTGACTATAAGTTTTATTTGAGGAATGGCAATGTTGGGGTCCTGGGGATAGGGAAAACAACATCATTGAAAAAATGAAAAGTTGCACCAAGTTACAGCAATGAAATTTGAGGTTTCTTGTCTGAATTTTGGACATTAATTAAGATTGTAATTGAATTGAAATTATCTATGAATATGAAAAGTTTTTAGGAGTGAGCATAAATCGAGTTAATAAATTGAAATAAGTTGAATATGGTAAAGTGAATTAGATTAATTTGATTTAATAATTATTGATTAAATAATTTAATTTAATCGATTAATTGCTTTGATTTTTTTATTTTTAAAATTAATAATTGAATTGAGTAGCTTTTTTAATATACTATTAATATATTATATATAAAGTAAATATATATAACAAATATGACTATAAAAAAGTAACAAATATGACATTAGTGTCAAAATTATAAGATTAATTTTATTTTATGAAAATTATGAAAAAATTATTTTTTAAGATTGCTGACAAAAGAATGATGAAAAATTCGATTTTTTTTAACCAAACTGATTAATTTTATATCAGTTAAATTATTTTTGATTGTTAAATGTAAGTCATTCAGATAAATTATTTTTAGCAAAAATTGATTCAATCGATTTTTAATTTTTCAAAATTAAATTGACGAATTGTT